TTCCAGGTTGCTTCTCTCCTTGGTTCGTTTCCAACCATTGTTTCTTGTCTTGCCCTCCGGCGTTTTGCATTTCGGTACGCGCTTCGTTGTTTTTGTTTTTTCCTTTTCTCAAGCAGCAGAAAGATCTTTGATCTTGGTCTGTGACTGCAGAGGCAGATCAATAAATAAAAAGGAAAGAAGCATTTCGTCGCTGCGGTTTCACTCTTGATCCCTGGGTTTATACCTGCCTTTTTCCTTGTCTTCCGTGCAGGTCAAGTTCTGCCTGGGCTCCGTGCAGAAGTCCGTTCTCAAAGATTGGTTCCGTCTGCTTCCTCTGCCCTCTTCAGGAGAGGACGCTGGGTAAATAAGAAGTGGTCCCTTTTGTGAAGCATGCAACATTTGGGATTGGAGCACCCTGTCTCATTTCAGAGACCTGTGAATTATTTTTGTAGCTGTTAGCTAGGGAGCTGCTCAGCGGCGGGTTTCAAATTTTGTTACTACCGGTTCTGTGGGTGTGGCTTGGTGGGCATGGCGTGGCTTAGTGGGTGTGGCTTGGTGGGCATGGCAGGGGAAACATACTGTAAGATCGCCATTCCCACCCGATGCCAGCGCTTCAACGCTGGCATAGAGAGAGAGAGATAAGCTCTGAACTTTTGCCTGCTAAATCCCTTTGAAGTCGGGTGTCGTGGAAATGAAGAGGGGGGGGAACATTCCTGGGAAATGACGAGACAAGAAGTCTGAAGAATGACTTGGAAGATAGCCAATGAGAAGCAGAGATTTGGGGATCGAAAGGGAGGGATTGGGGGGCAAAAGGTCAGTCTTGTCCGCATCGAGTCATGATCCGGTGGCTGTGCTCAGTTAAAGAAAAGATTTCCTTAAAGATTGGCAGTTTGGAAATTCATTTATTTTGAGATAGCATCGAAAGTCTGACACCCCACTCCAGGGGAAGGATACTGCAAAATCCCCATTACTTCCTGATCAGCTGGGACTCGGGAGGCAGAGAATAGATGGGGGTGGAGCCAATCAGGATTTTTACTACCGGTTCTCCGAACTAATCAAAATTTCCACTACTGGTTCTCCAAAACTGGTCAGAACCTGCTGAAACCCACCTCTGGAGCTGCTGAGCCTAGTTCAGATTTAAAGAGATGTCATGTGAGACGTGGTGGCTCAGTGGCTAAGATGCTGAGCTTGTCGATTGAAAGGTCGGCAGCTCAGCGGTTCGAATCCCTAGTGCCGCGTAACGGGGTGAGCTTCCATGACTTGTCCCAGCTTCTGCCAATCCTAGCAGTTCCAGGATTTCCAGCTTAGGCAGGAAACCCTACACCACTTCAGACAAATGGTTATCCAACATCATCTTAAAATCTTCCAGTGTTGGAGCATTCACAACTTCTGGAGGCAAGGAGTTCCACTGATTAATTGTTCTCACTGTCCGGAAATTTCTCCTTAGTTCTAGGTTGCTTCTCTCCTTGATGAGTTTCCACCCGTTGCTTCTTGTCCTGTCCTCAGGTGCTTTGGAGAATAGCTTGACTGCCTCTTCTTTGGGGCAGCCCCTGAGATATTGGAAGACTGCTATCATGTCTCCCCTAGTCCTTCTTTTCATTAAACCAGACATACCCAATTCCAGCAACCGTTCTTCCTATGTTTTAGCCTCCAGTCCCCTAATCCTCTTTCTTGCTCTTCTCTGCACTCCTTTCTAGAGTCTCAACATCTATTTTACATCGTGGCAACCAAAACTGAATGCCATATTCCAAGTGTGGCCTTACTAAGGCCTTATAAAGTGGTATTAACACTTCACGTGATCTTGATTCTATCCCTCTGTTGATGCAGCCTAGAACTGTGTTGGCTTTTTTGGCAGCTGCTGCACACGGCTGGCTCCTATTTAAAGTTTCTGAGGTTGACATGTCCACTCAACGTAATGTTCATCAACATCCAGTCCTTGATGTTAAACGGTTGCCTTCCTTTGTAAACCTCTCTTTGCAAAGCACAACATGCAGGTTAGACGTCATGTTAGCCTCTCCTCTGCTTGCAGGGAAAAACTGGGTCAGCTAAGGTTGCAGGTTCGGCTTGCTGAAGACAGGATCCTGCCTTCCAGTTACTATCAACCCCTGATAGACCTCCTTGTGGAATCTGTCTTGTGTCCTCCAGAGGTGGGTATAGTTAGGTTGAACAGACCTATATAAAGCTGAACACATTTGTATTGGATTATTTAATGTGGGAAGAAGGGGGGATTATAAAAGAGATGTCCTAATTATAGGACAAAATGAATGTGAATAAGAGAGTTGTTGACGGTTGTTTTTAATTGTGGTTTGTTGGATAATCCACATTGGCTGGGTACCTAGGTCATGAGAAGCCATCAATTATAGCTTAAAAACAGTAATGGATCTGGATTCACACAGCAGGTTAAACCTCAATCAGGAAAAAAAAATTACATTTATTTATTTATTTATTTATTTATTTATTTATTTATTTATTTATTTATTTATTTATACCGCCTTTCTCCTGTAGGACTCAAGGCGGTGTACAGTCAAGAAAAATACAGATACACAAACATCATAAAACATTAGGCTTAGCATGATTTTGAACTCAATATAAATAAATAAATAAATAAATAAATAAATAAATAAATAAATAAATAAATACATACATACATACATACATACATACATACATACATACATACATACATACACTATGTTTCCCTGAAAATAAGACCCTGTCTTATATTTTTTTGAACCCTGATATAAGCGGGGAGGTCTTATTTTCGGGGAGGTCTTATTATTTTGAGGCGTGTGGAGCAAGATGGGACTCCTCTTGCCGTCTTACCTGATTTCCAGCTCTGTGTTTAAATATTTTCAGGGAGGTCTTATTTTTTGGGGAGGGAGGCTTATTTTAGCACATTTGGGCTTATTATCAGAGGATGTCTTATTTTCGGGGAAACGGTTCTTTATTGTCATTGTACGTATATACACAGTATACCCATAAAACAAAATTCACATAACACCCAAAGACCAGGCCCAACATACATAACAATCCCCAAACACCCCCACCCACCCATCACAAATTCCCTGCCCCTGAACCACCCAAACATCCACTCAACAGACCAAGTAATGCTGTCCAACAGCTCACTGATGGTGGCCCTTTAGTTCATTATTGAGTGCAATGTAACAGCCAAATGTATCAAACTAAAATAATGATAATTCATACATTTCAAGACAAGAGTTGTTTGTTCCAGTTTTGGTATCAACAAGTGCAGTGCAAACAGGAAAGAGCAGAGTTTTCTCTATATATGGATAATTTGAGATTACAGGACCTCGGAGAGCTCCCTAGGAATGCAGGAGTTGCTCTTCAGAAGTCCATCTCAAGTCTGAAGTCTTAAGAGGTCAAGAGGGATTCACAATCGATTATACACATTTGTGTGAACTTTCAATTCAAAGTTGGTCTGAGCTGATGATTATTTCAAATCAAACCTTCAGATCAGTGCATCGGATGCCTTTAAATTGAACCAAATATTGGACAGACTTTGCAGATAAACGTGTCTAATTGAATCAATCCAATCATCTGAAGCACAACGTTGAAAGAAATCGCAAACGGGAATCTATTCAATTATTTCAACCGAATTGAAGGTTCCAATTAGACCCTTACCTGATTTACATGGATTCTGTAATGGACTCGTCGCACGATGAATACGTACAGTTCTAATTCTCCATCGAATGATTGACCTCAAGGCCTTTTTCTATATCAGGAAGGTGTGTGTACGTTTTCAATATCATAGGTGTGTGTACGTTAATGATAGGTATTTTTTGACACTCTGCACAGGAGGCCGATGACCTCACCCCACTCGCCCTTCTGGAAGAAGTATGTTTGGTGGAGAGTCGTCAAGATGTATCCACCAAGCTTGTCAAGATCTTCCTTGGGCAAGGCCTGGTTATCCCTTTCTTGGATTACCTGAATTTCCGTGAGATTTCAAGAACAAGTAAGTGCCTTCATATATCAAGTGGCATTTCACCAGTGTGATCCAGGAACTCAGTCAGCAAGTTGACTAAGGCTGCCAACTGCTTTCTGCAATAGATGAGCAGGATTGTTTTTTGGGGGAGGGGGAGTGAGTCCAGGGGTGGGGCTGCTGGTAGTTCACAGGGTTTCGGGAGAACTTCTAGCTAAAATTCTGTGCAGTTCGGAGAACCCCCAAATCCCACTCCTGGCTGGCCCCACCCCACCCACCCCTCCCCTCCCCTCCCAGGAGTCCCCATGCAGCCTGTTTTTTTTTTTATTGAAAAAGTTTTACAAATATCAATTTTCCCCCATTTCCCCCCCATCCCTCCCTAACCCCCCCAATCCCTCCCCTCTCCCCGTGACTTCCCCAAGGTGAAATCCATCCACATTATATTATATCATACTTTACCACCCCTCTATTCTCCCCCCTGTGCACTATACATTTCTACATAACAATAAGCTATCTTGCCCCCTATAAACTATACATTTCTACACAACATTTAGCTAAAAGCTATCTGGTACTTCCTAGTTTGGTATTTATTCTGCACATAATCTATCCATTTCTTCCACTCCCATACATAAGTCTCTTGAGTCCGGTCTTTTAAGTATGCTGATATCTTCGCCATTTCTGCAAAACTGGCCATCTTCAAAGTCCATTCTTGAATTGTAGGCATAACATCCCTTTTCCAATATTGACCAATCAGTAACCTAGCTGCTGTCACCATATACAATATCAACTTTGTTTCACCCACTGAAAAACCCTTAACTATACCCAGTAAAAACAATTGAGGAGAAAATTGAATTTTTTTTCTTCAAGACATTTTGCATAACCCACCAAATTTTTATCCGAAAAGCCTTTGCTTTCTTGCATGTCCACCATATATGATAATATGTAGCATCTAATATGCAGCCTGTTTTGGATGCAGGTAAGTGCAGGGTGCTTGCGGAGGCTCCGGGTAAGGGTAGGAGAAAAACGGGCCAACCGGAAGTTTAGGAAGGTCAGAAACGGGGCCAAGGGAAATATGACGTCACCGAACTGGTTCTCTTTGTTCGGGAGCTGGGCCCTCCCGCGTTATTCTTACCTTTTATTTCTTCTTTTTTAGCCCACCTGATAGGTGCGGCAGAATGGATTGCCGCACCTCAGCTGGGCAGATTTGTACTTTAATTTAATTTAATTTAATTAATCATATTTCTATGCCGCCCAACTCCCAAGGGACTCTGCAATGTGCAGAGTGCAAGTTTGGCGCGTATGGTGAGCGAAGAGAGCAAAAAACGCACGCACCAAGAGGCGATCACACACGAAGTGCGTGCACAAAGAGTAAAGCCGGTTAGAACCCACCACTGCTCCACATGCCATCTGTGGCACGCGTGTCGTAGGTTCGCCATCGCGGGTCTGGATGCATGAGCCTTGATAGTACAGTGGTTTAGTGCACCCTGTTATTAACACAGCTGCCTGCAATTACTGCAAGTTCAAATCTCACCAGGCTCAAGGTTGACTCAGCCTTCCATCCTTTCTAAGGTAGGTGAAATGAGGACCCAGTTTGTGGGGGCAATAAGCTGACTTTGTATAAAATATACAAAAGAATGAAGGCTATTGCTTAACGCATTGTAAGCCGCCCTGAGTCTCCGGAGAAGGGCGGCATATAAATCAAATTAAAATAAAATAAAATAAATAAAATAAAAAATGAAACCTAATTTTAAAATGATGCGAAACCTACACAGTCCTGTGCGAAAGGAAACCTGAGCCAAGAAGTTTAGCGTGAGTGACGGGGAGGCGTTGGATTGCTTATTTTAAACGCAAGATCGTGGATGCGATGAGTTGGCTGAGGCTGGTGGTAGAATGCCAAAAAGCAATCAGGAACGGTGATCGCGGATGTCGCTTACTCATCTTAAAAGAATCAGAGGAGAAATGTCACATATCTGCGTGTTCTTTTTTTTTTCTTCCTCCAGTGGATCCCAACACTCTCTTCCGTTCCAACTCCTTAGCCTCCAAATCCATGGAGCAATTCATGAAGGTGAGTGAGGAGCAGAGGAACATAGAAACGGCGATTAGGATGGAAAAAGCTGAAGCTGAAGGATCGGTCTTATAAATTGCTAGAAAGAAAGATACGCCGCGAACCGCGGAATGTGTTTCAAATCAATGTGGTGCCAGGTTTTTCTCTAGTTTGATTGCTATGCCAATTGTTTCTTTTCGGGGACGGGGTAGAACAGGCTAAAAGCTCTGTTGCCATGGTGGAGAAACGGGTGCGTCAAGTGGCAAACATCCCACCATAAGATACGGCAGCGCAGCCCATGTGAAAATGTTTATTTGCACCCCGATGGTCATGATGTAGTCAAAGGGAATCAAGCTATTCTCCAAAGCACCTGAGGGCAGGGCAAGAAGCAATGGGTGGAAACTAATCAAGGAGAAAAGCAACTTAGAACGAAGGAGGAATTTCCTGACAGTTAATCAGTGGAACAACTTGCCTCCAGAAATTGTAAATGCTCCAACACTGGAAGTTTTTAAGAAGAGATTGGATAAACATTCATCTGAAGTGGTGTAGGGTTTCCTGCTTGAGCAGGGGGTTGGACTAGAAAACCTCCAGGGTCCCTTCCAACTCTGCTATTCTATTCTGTTCTGTTCTGTTCTGTTCTGTTCTATTCCATCTTCTTTCCTTCTTTCCTTATTCTATTCTATTCTATTCTATTCTATTCTATTCTATTCTATTCTATTCTATTCTATTCTATTCTATTCCATTCCATTCCATTCCATTCCATTCCATCTTCCTTCCTTTTTTCCTTATTCTATTCTATTCTATTCTATTCTATTCTATTCTATTCTATTCTATTCTATTCTATTCTATTCTATTCTATTCTATTCCATTCCATTCCATTCCATTCCATTCTATGATGATGGTTATAAGTGGAGGACCATCATTAAAAGAAGATTTTGGAGTATAACATTCCTTCTTCTTTATTAGCAACTCTTTCTTTAAAAAACAACAACTCTGTCTTTTTTTTAAATAACCAATGTGTTTTATCTTGCCTTCCATATCTCCCCAATCTCCTGGTCTTTTGTAGATAGTGGGAATGCCCTACCTCCACGAAGTTTTAAAAGTTATCATACATCGGATCTTTGAAGAGAAGAAGTATGTGGAACTCGATCCCTGCAAGATTGAACCTAGCCGGGCCAAGTAAGGAAATAAATGCATATTTATTTAATGGTTTCAATAATGTTTATGTAATTATAGCAATAGCACTTAGACTTATATGTCACTTCACGGTGCTGTATACTCTAAGTGATATACAGAGTCGGCATATATTTTCCCCAACAATCTGGGTCCTCGTTTTACCAACCTCGGAAGGATGGAAGGCTGAGTCAACCTTGAGCCAGTTCAGGATCGAACTCCAGGCTGTGGGCAGAGTTAGCCTGCGATCCTGCATTCCAACCACTGCCTGGAATAGAAATAGAATTTAGACTTATATACCACTTCGTAGAGCTATACAGCTCTCTCTAAGAAGTTTACAGGACCAGCCTCTTGCCCCCAATAATCTGGGTCCTCATTTTATTGACCTCAGAAGGATGGAAGGCCGAGTCAACTTTGAGCCGGTCAGAATCGAACTGCCGGCAGTCGGCAGTCGGCAGAATTAGCCTGCAATTGCACATTCTAAGCACTGCACCCTCACAGCTCTCAATTATCACTTGCATTGTATTGAATTGTTTTCTAGAATAGAATAGGATAGGATAGGATAGGATAGGATAGGATAGGATAGGATAGGATAGGATAGGATAGGATAGGATAGGATAGGATAGGATAGGATAGGATAGGATAGAATAGAATAGAATAGAATAGAATAGAATTCTTTATTAGCCAAGTGTGATTGGACACACAAGGAATTTGTCTTTGGTGCATACGCTCTCGGTGTACATAAAGAAAAAATAAAATACATTCTTCAAGAATCATACATTCTTCAAGAAATCGTAAGATTTCTGACCTCCGGGTATTTCGCTGCGCACTCAAGACCCTATTGTTCTGCCAGGCTGGGTTAGCAACATAATTTTAAATTGAATGTTTTAAATTTTTGGGGTTTTAAATTAAGCCAAATTTATTTAATACTTTTAAATTATTTTAAATTGATGTTTATTCTGTTTTTAAATAGGCTGTACACCACCCTGAGTCCTTCGGGAGAAGGGCAGTATAGAAATAAAATTATTATTATTATTATTATTATTATTATTATTATTATTATTATTATTATTATTATTATTATTATTATTATTATTATTATTATTATTATTATAAGATACAACACTTAGCGATAGTCATAGGATACTAATAAGCAATCAAATCACTCTAGGAAACAAATAAAAAACAATATAAGTTGTAAAAATACAAGCAACATGGATAGAGCCGTAAGTAGGGAAGAGATAGATACTAGGAAGGAAGAGAAGAAGAATAATTTACCAAGACTGCATTACTATTCTTCTTCTCTTAATAGTAATACAGTTTTAGTAAATTATTTGACAGTGTTGTGGGAATTAGTTGTTTAACGGAGTGATGGCATTCGGGGAAAAACTGTCCTTGTGTCTACCGTGTTTTCCCCAAAATAAGACATCCCCTGATAATAAGCCCAATTGGTATTTTGAGCACATGGCAATAAGGCCAAGCGCTTATTTCAGGGTTCAAAAAAGTAGGGTCTTATTTTCGGGGAAACACAATAGTTGTTCTGGTGTGCAGAGCCCTATAGTGTCGTTTTGAGGGTGGAAATTGAAACAATTTGTGTCCGGGATGTGATTCTTAACATCCTTACTTACTTACTAACATTACTTACTTACACTTACTAACTTTAATTACATCCTTACGAACACTTAACAACCATCGTAAAACGGGGCAAAATTAGCTTCTCAAATGTCTCTCTTAGCCACCGAAATGTTGGGGCCCATTGCGCTGCCTTATGGAGGTGATCGCTCCAACGAATCGGCTCCCTCCTGCTATCTCAAGAGTCGTGCATTTGCAGCAAGATTGTAAGACATGTCCTTTTTGGTGCCAGGGGCAGTGAGAAAGGATTAAAACAGTGGGGCAGGGGATCCAGCCTCCTTCACAAGTAGCTTTCCTCATCCCACCGGACTAATTAAAACAGAAACGGTCACATTTGCCTGGCAGATGATTTATGAGTCTAAAAATAATGGAACAGAATGTTCCTGGGTAAGATAAATCACAGCTGAGATGTGGATTGTTGTGCGGAAAACTCTAGGAATGAAGGCGGGATCTCTTAGTGCAGAAGGGATCTCAGGAGGTTTATTTCACGAGTGAAATCCAACAGGTTCTGACAGGTTCTGGAGAACCGGTAGCGGAAATTTTGAGCAGTTCAGAAAACCGGTAGCGGAAATTTTGAGTAGTTCGGAGAAGCGGCAAATACCACCTCTGGCTGGACCCAGAGTGGAATGGGAATGGGGATTTTGCAGTATCCTCCCCTTGGAGTGAGGAGGGAATGGGGATTTTGCAATATCCTTCTCTTGGAGTGGGGAGGGAATGGGGATTTTGCAGTATTCTTCCCTTGGAGTGGGGAGGGAATGGGGATTTTGCAATATCCTTCCCTTGGAATGGGGTGGGAATGGAGATTTTGCAGTATCCTTCCCTTGGAGTAGGAATGGAAATTTTGCAGTATCCTTCCCTTGGAGTGGGGAGGGAATGGGGATTTTGCAGTCTCCTTCCCTTGGAGTGGGGAGGGAATGGGGATTTTGCAGTCTCCTTCCCTTGGAGTGGGGAGGGAATGGGGATTTTGCAGTATCCTTCCCTTGGAGTGGGAATGGAAATTTTGCAGTATCCTTCCCTTGGAGTGGGGAGGGAATGGGGATTTTGCAGTATCCTTCTCCTGCCACGCCCACCAAGTCAAGGTGTCGAGGACTGCCTGTACATACGTCTTCCTTTGATTTGGAAGAATAACAGAGAGTTGGAAGGGACCTTGTAGGTCATCTAGTCCAAGCGTCCGCCCAAGCAGGAGACCCTACACCATTTCTGACAAATGGCAGTCCAGTCTCTTCTTGAAAGCCTCCAGTGATGAAGCTCCCACAACTTCCGAAGGCAACTTCTGTTCCTTCGGTTCATTGTTCTCACTGTCAGGAAATTCCTCCTTATTTCCAGGTTGAATCTCTCCTTGGTCAGTTTCCATCCATTATTCCTTGTCTGGCCTTCGGGTGCCTTGGAAAATAGCTTGACCCCTTCCTCTCTGTGGCAGCCCCTCAAATATTGGAAGACTGCTCTCATGTCTCCCCTGGTCCTTCTCTTCACTAGACTAGCCATGCCCAGTTCCTGCAACCGTTCATCGTAGGTTTTAGTCTCCAGTCCCCTCATCATCCTTGTTGCTCTTCTCTGCAAGAGGAGGTAGTTTGAGGGAGGAGGGGGAAGAGACTGTCAATCCCAGGACCTTTTGTGATCCAAATACGGGAGATCCATGGGTCAAAATGGTGCTTAAGAGCTAACCCCTAGGGTATCCATGCAAGAGAATGCACGCTCCACTCTTAAAGATGACAGCCGTTGAAAATCAAATAGCACGCTCGTCTTCCTGGGAAAATAAAAATCTGTTCTGTTATCACCTTCGCGCTAAATGCACGCATGTGGAAACATCGTCGCCTGTGTTTGTGAGCGTCTGTGGTTGTTTGTTGGGTGCGAGAACTCCGATTTTAGGTGAATGGCGATGGCACCGAGCCTCGCGTTCCGAGAAGGGTGCCAACGTGATTGAGAGCTGAGAACAGGCCGCCGAGCTCGCTGCGAGATTTTCAGATGCTCCAAAGATAGTGTCCTTCTTGGGATGCTGTTCCCTCCGGTTGCTAGGCAACCCTGTCTCCGGGATGCTGCTGGGAAGAACACGGCACTGCATCAAGATAGCGTGGAAGTGAAGTGTGCCGCTAGAGGGTGTGCCCCCGAAAAAAAAAACACACGCGTCTTGCTGCAGACGCAGTCCAGAGCACACGAGCTGGGGAATGACGTAGCCCAATACATGGGAAGCCAGCAATCGTGGTCTGGATTAGCTGAACCCATTTCCGAGGTCCACCTGCCCATGAATTAGCTGAGTGTGAATCCTATCCTCGAATCCCAGAGGTGGAAGGGAGTCCTTGAGGTTCGCAGGTCCATCCCCTCTGCAGGAACCGAAGAGAATAGGATGCACACCGGCTGTCCTCATTTATCAGCCGAAAGACTCAAATCCAGGTTGCCTCCACTGGCACCTGCAGAACATCTGCCAATCAATTTTAACAAGGGGTTGCTGAATGCCCAGACATAAGGTGAAAGGTAAAGGTTCCCCTCGCACATCTGTGCTAGTCGTTCCTGACTCTAGGGGGCAGTGCTCATCTCTGTTTCAAAGCCAAAGAGCTTCTGCCACTGTCCGAAGACATCTTTGTGGTCATGTGGCTGGCATGACTCAATGCCGATTTATATTGATCGTTTCCTAGTATGATTTGATTGCTTATTTGTACCCTATGACTATCATTAAGTGTTGTACCTTATGATTCTTAATGAATGTATCTTTTCTTTTATGTACCCTGAGAGCATATGCACGCAAGACAAGTTCCTTGTAGGTCCAATCACACTTGGCCAATAAAAATTCTATTCTATTCTATTCTATTCTATTCTATTCTATTCTATTCTATTCTATTCTATTCTATTCTATTCTATTCTATTCTATTCCATTCCATTCCATTCCATTCCATTCCATTCTTTTCTACTCTACTCTACTCTATTCTATTCCTAATTCTATTCTATTTCTATTTCTATTTCTATTTCTATTTCTATTTCTATTCGGTTCGGTTCGGTTCGGTTCGGTTCGGTTCGGTTCTATTCTATTCTATTCTATTCTATTCTATTCTATTCTATTCTATTCTATTCTATTCCATTCCATTCCATTCCATTCCATTCCATTCCATTCTTTTCTACTCTACTCTACTCTACTCTACTCTATTCCTAATTCTACTTCTACTTCTACTTCTACTTCTACTTCTACTTCTACTTCTACTTCTACTTCTACTCTACTCTACTCTACTCTACTCTACTCTACTCTACTCTACTCTATTCTATTCTATTCTATTCTATTCTATTCTATTCTATTCTACCCTACCCTACCCTACCCTACCCTACCTTACCCTACCCTACTGTACCCTACTACTACTCTACTCTACTCTACTCTACTCTACTCTACTCTACTCTACTCTACTCTACTCTACTCTACTCTACTCTACTCTAATTCCTGGTTGTTGTTGTTTTGACACCTCTTTTGGATGTTTTTTGTTCAGGCGGATCTCCTTCAAAGGCTCCCTGTCTGAGGCCCAGATCCGAGAAGGCAGTTTGGAAGTGCTGAAGGGGTATTTGGCAGAGATCGTGGACGCCATTGTGGGTTCAACCGAGAACTGCCCTCCGCTCATGCGAGTGGCTTTCAAACAGCTGTACAAGCGGGTGGAGCTACGCTTTAAGGAAGCAGAGCACCAGGTAGGAATCGATAAAAGAGAATATTTGTAGAAACAGGGTTGAATTGTGGGGTTCTTGGTGCTCTCTAAGCTTGGTGGTTTTCTTGCAGATGTTTCATGACCCAACTAAGGAACATCTTCAGTGCTAGAAGGCAGTGAGGTTTATGGAGAGGAGGAGGAGGAGGAGGAGGAGGAGGAGGAGGAGGAGGACGACGACTGTGGGGTCCTTGGTGCTTCCTGAACTTGGTAGTTTTCTTGTAGATGTTTCAATACCCATCTAGGTAACATCATCAGTGCTAGAAGGGAGTGGTGTTTGCTCTCTGTTTATATACAGTGGCTTGCCCTGTTGACAAATATAACCTATTCCCTTCTAGCATTGATGATGTTACTTTGTTGGGTAGTGAAACATCTGCAAGAAAACCACCAACTTCAGAGACCCCCACGGACCCCCACACTCAAGGGAGTCTTTGAGGACCTAGCGGGCTGTTCCAAAGAGGTGAACTCAACAGCTCCTCTCTTGATATGTGTTGTTTTCTAGTCAACAGAAGATGGGGAACAGCTAGAAAGAAGCCCAGGTTGATAATCCAAAGAACCTGGTTTGGGGAGGGTGCAAAAGATGTTGAGAGTCTAGAAAAAGTGCAGAGGAGAGCAACCAGGATTATTAGAGGACTGGAGGCTCAAACCTACAATGAACGGTTGCAGGAACTGGGCCTGGCTAGTCTAGTGAAGAGAAGGACCAGGGGAGACAGGATAGCATCTTCCAATATTTGAGGGGCTGCCACAGAGAGGAGGAAGGAGTCAAGCTATTTTCCAAAGCACCCGAAGGCCAGACAAGGAAGAATGGATGGAAACTGACCAAGGAGAGATTCAACCTGGAAATAAGGAGGAACTTTCTGACAGTGAGAACAATCAACCGATGGAACAGAAGTTGCCTTCGGAAGTTATGGGAGCTTCATCACTGGAAGCTTTCGAGAAGAGACTGGACTGCCATCTGTCAGAAATGGTGTAGGGTCTCCTAGTTTGGGCAGGGGGTTGGACTAGATGACCTCCAAGGTCCCTTCCAAGTCTGTTAATCTGTTAATTTCAGAGGTTCTGAGGTTGTTCTGGGTGCTTCCACATTTATAATTCAAATTTAGCAGGACAAGCCCTCCCCCCATAAGCGTGACTGGTTCTGTCTCTGCCTTCCTCATTCTTGGTGATCTCCTTCCAGGAAGCCAAATATATCGCCATCAGTGGTTTCCTCTTCCTCCGTTTCTTCGCCCCTGCAATTCTAACCCCGAAACTCTTCAGTCTCCGAGACCATCATGCAGATACGCAAACCAGCAGGACTCTCTTACTTCTGGCCAAGGTATATCTGAATGAGTTTCACCTAGGACGGGTGTCGGCAACCTGCAGCCCGAGAGCCGCATGCGAATCGTTGTGCCCTCTCTTGCGGCTCCCTGCCGACCCGGAAAAAGGAAAAACAAGAAATGAGACGGAGGGAGGGAGGGAGAGAGAGAGAGAGAGCCATTTCCCACAGAAAACACCGAGAGACATGAAAAGTTGGGTAGGCGTGGCTGGGGCGGTCATGTGACTGGGTGGGAGTGACATTGAGTTAGCCACGCCCAACCGGGTTTTGTGACTCCTGGTGTTTTCTTTTCTATGGGAAACGGATCCAAATGGCTCTTTGAGTGTTTTAAGGTTGCAGACCCCTGACCTAGGAGTTCCTCTAAAGTGATGTTTTTTTCAATCTTGGATACTTTAAGATGGATGGACTTCAACTCCCAGAATTCCCCCAGCCAGCATGCTGGCTGGCTAGAGAATTCTGGGAGCTGAAGTCCATCCATCTTAAAACTTGCTGGCTGGAGAATTCTAGGAGCTGCAGTCTGTAGATCTTAAAATATGCTAGTTGGAGACTTCTGGGAGGTGATGGCGTCTACACGTCTTAAAAGATATTAGCTGGGGAATTCTGGCAGTTGAATTGGACACTTGTTAAAGATTGCTGGCTGGGGAATTCTGGGAATTGAAGTTCGGCCATGTTAAGATTCCCAAGACTAGAGAAAAACACTTCTCTAAAGGGAGCATTTGAATTTGGGAGTTCTGGAAAGAAAGAAAGAAAGAAAGAAAGAAAGAAAGAAAGAAAGAAAGAAAGAAAGAAAGAAAGAAAGAAAGAAAGAAAGAAAGAAAGAGGAGGAAGAAAAGAAGGATGGAGGGAGGAAGGAAAGAAGGAGGGAAAAGAAAGGAAAGAAGGAGGGAAGGAACGAAGGACGGAAGGAGGGAGGGAGGGAAGGAAGGAGGGAGGGAGGGAAGGAAGGAAGGAAGGAGCGAAGGAAGGAAGGAGGGTGGGCAGGCGGGAAGGAAGGAAGGAAGGAAGGAAGGAGGGTGGGCGGGAGGGAAGGAAGGAAGGAAGGAAGGAAGGAAGGAAGGAAGGAAGGAAGGAAGGAAGGAAGGAAGGAAGGAAGAATGGCAGGCCATGAGTGTTGTCACTAAATGGCTACCACATGCAGAAGAGTGTTAACTCATGTTTGATACGTTGGCTTGTTCTTGTGTGGGTCAACTAGCATCTTTATGCCAATGGTTCCCTCTCTCCCTGGCAGGCAGTACAAAGCATTGGCAACCTCGGGCTCCAGCTGGGGCATGGGAAGGAGCAGTGGATGGAGCCTCTACACCCCTTCATCCTTGCCAGCATTGGGCGTGTCCAAGAATTCCTCGATAGACTCATAGATGTGGACATGGAGATGGGTGAGTCACCACATGACGCTATACTGCAGTGGTGAGACAACACTTGGAATACCGAATCCAGTTCTGGTCATCATATGTACAAAAAAGATATTGAGATCCTAGGAAGGGTGTGTTGTGGCTCCGTTGCCTGAGCCTGGGCTATCGACAGATGCAGACTCTGAGAGTGAGGAAGAGGAGTTGGCAAGGCCTCCCTCTCCAGGACCCTCCTCTCTGGCAATGCCTCCGGAGGACACCGAAGGCCAAAAGATAGGCTCAGAGCCAAGCACGTCCCCGCAGCCACAGGTGGACAGCGACGAAGGAGATAAGTGCTGGCTGGACCCTCGCCAGAGGCGCAGGGAGAAGCGTGCACAGCAGAGGGGAAGGCGTGCCAGAGATTAGCTGAGTCACTGGACCACACCCCACAGGGTATAAATGTGGGTGTGGTGGCCGGTTCAGTTTGTGATGAGCAAAAACTAGAAATAATTCATGATCTCTGCGTTACTGGACTTTGCCTGCTTTATCGGACTGCATTTGGATTAATCCTTGTATTGTTGAAAACTCTGCCTGTTTTATCGGAATGCTGGCAGTCTAATCTTTGTTTTGTGTGAGTAAAGTCTGAATTGGCAGCTAGCCACTGGGTTGCTGCCAGCTTCATTTTCAAAGAATTTTGTCGTGTGGCTTATTAACTCCGCGCCGTCTGTGGGGGTGCGTGAATGGAACGGGGACAGAACAGGATGCAACAAAGATGATGAAGGGATTGGAGGCTAAAACATACGATGAACGTTTGCAGGAAGTAGGTAGGTTTAGATCTAATGAAGAGAAGGACTATGGGTGACTTGAATGCAGTCTTCCAATACTTGAGGGTGTCAGGCCTGGAAGCCATCTTTTTACGTTGGGTCTTCAGACCTTCCGCATTTTCTACTGTGAAATATCTTCACAAGTTTTCATTTAATGGAGACATTCCCCCCACCCCACCCCCACCCTCTAGAAGGAAGCGAAAAACAACCTTGGACCCTCTTCCACTCTTCGGCCATCATCAAAGAAGGTTACCTGCAGAAACGTAAAGCAGAAGGGGTCCACCTGGTGTCCCGTTTCACCTTCAAAAAGCGGTACTTCTGGTTGAGCCATGAAAGCTTTTCCTATTCCAAATCTCCAGAGTGGCAGGTAAGAACTGGTCTTTCGTCGGCCTGCCTGCCTACCATCTATCATCTCTCCCACTCTCTCTCTTTATCTATCTATCTATCTATCTATCTATCTATCTATCTATCTATCTATCTATCTATCTATCTATCATCTCCATACATACATACATACATACATCATCCATCCATCCAACTATCTATCTCCATCCACTCATCCATCCATCCATCCATCCATTTATCATCCATCCATCTCTCATCCATCCATCCACTCATCCATCCATCCATCTATCTATCTATCATCCATCCATCCATCCATCCACTCATCCATCCATCCATCCATCCACCCATCCATCCATCTATCTCCATCCACTCATCCATCCATTCATCTGTCCATCCATACATCCATACATCTATCATCCATCCATATCTATCTATCTATCTATCTATCTATCTATCTATCTATCTATCTATCCATCTATCTATCTATCTATCATCCATCCATCCATCTATCTCCATCCATCCATTCATATCCATCCATCCATCTATCATCCATCCATCCATCCATCCACCCACACACCCCTACCTACCTGCCTGCCTGCCTGCCTGCCTGCCTACCTACCTACCTACCTACCTATCTATCTCCATTCTCTCTCTCTCCATTCTATCTATCTATCTATCTATCTATCTATCTATCTATCTATCTATCTATCTATCTATCATCTGTATCTGTTTATTTATGTCTCTGTCCGTCTGTCTGTCTGTCTGTGTCTGTCCGTCTATCTATCATCTATCTATCTATCATCTATCTATCTATCTATCTATCTATCTATCTATCTATCTATCTATCTATCTATCTATCTATCATCTCTATCTATCATCCATCTATCATTCCATCCATTCATAATCTATTTATGTATCCATCCATCCATCGCTTCCTCCCTCTCTCTGATAGAGAGCGAGAGCTTTCTCATGGGAAGCCTTTCAGAAAAGACCCTTCCCAGAGAGTAAAAAGGGAAGGAGGGGAGAAATACTTGTCACCTTGCAAGATGCTATTAATGTAACTTTACCCCAAAGGTAGCCTTCACCTTCTAACAGCAATTTGGGATCAGAACGTCTGTCACTAAGCCAGGCAGTCGTTAAGGGAGTCGTGCATGATTTTATTATGTTTTTACCAAGCTGATGAGCAATTTCCTGCAGTTGTTAAGCGAATCACGGTCCTTAAATAAATCCCTTCCCTCCCCCCCCACCCCGTTGACTTTACTTGTCAAAAGGACAAGGACCCAGTTTGTGGGGGCAATAAGCTGACTTTGTATAAATATACAAAAGGATGAAGGCTATTGCTTAACGCACTGTAAGCCGCCCTGAGTCTCCGGAGAAGGGCGGCATATAAATCAAATAAAAATAAATAAATAAATAAAAAAAGTAGAGAAGATTGCAAATGGCGATCAGAGGAGCCTGGGACACGGCATGCCAGCTGTCAATCACCCCAATTTTGATCCCGTGACTGTGGGGATGTGTGCCACAACCCTAATCACATAGTTTTCCCAAGTGCCGTTGTAACTTCAAAGGGTCATTGAATAAACGGTTGGAAGTCAAACCAAGAGCGAGTACTGCTGGGCGTGCTTTTTATCTGGACTACCTCGCAGGGCTGGTGTGGGTTTTTTTTTTTTCTTTTCTCCATGCTCAGGTCCGTACAGCCATTCCAATCCAACGAATCTGCGCTGTGGAACGGGTGGATGAAAATGCTTTCCAGCAGCCCCACGTGATGCAGATCGCGACGAGAGAAACGGGGGGCCAGCTGTTTACCATGTACATTCAGTGTAAGGTAGGCCTGGTTTTAGGCTTACAGGCAGGGGTGGGCTTCAAAAATTTTAGCAAGGGGTTCTCTGCCTGGTTGCTGTGTGGGCGTGGCCATGGTAGGCGTGGCCTACTCGGCCTCTTGCGCCACAGCACGGGAGGGGGGGCGTTTTTGCCCTCCCCGGGCTCTGGAGGCTTTCCTCGAGCCTCCGATAGGGTGAAAACGGCCTCCCCAGGCTCCGGAGGCCCTTCCCGAACTTCCAGTAGGCCTGTTTTTCACCCTCCCCGAGCCTCTGTGCACGCCCTGCACTTACCTGCATCCAAAACAGGCCGAGTGGGGACTCCTGAGAGGGGCGGGGAGGGGTGAGGTGGGCGGGGCCAGCCAGGAGTGGGATTTGCAGAGAATCTTATCTAGAGGTTCTACCGAACCCCTACGAACCCCCAGCAGCCCACACATTCGGCACATTCTGAGTTACGCTCTTTCAGCCGTTTGTTGAGCACGGATGCCGTGATCCAATTAGATTGTGAACTTCATCCATCTTCCATCTTTTTTTTGGCAGAACGTCAACGAGCTCAACCAATGGCTTTCCGCCATCCGAAAAGCCACCGTCTCCAATGAATGCATGCTGCCCTTTTGCCACCCGGGGGCCTTCAGAGGCAATCGCTGGACTTGTTGCTTGCAGACGGACCGGGCCGGTAATCCGATTCTACATTGTAGAATCCCAGGGTTAGAAGGAAGCCTCTGACACATGATGGAAGATAGGCTGATCTCCTGTCAAGGGTTCTCTAGAAGTTCTAGAACCGTAGGACTTGAAGGATTCTGTAGAAGTTCTAGGATTTGAAGGGTCCTCTAGAAGTTCTAGGATATGAAGCGTTCTCTGGGAGTTCTAGGATTTAAAGAGTTCTCTGGGTTCTAGGATTTGAAGGGTCCTCTAGAAGGTCTAGGATTTGAAGGGTCATCTAGAAGTTCTAGGATATGAAGCATTCTCTGGAAGTTCTAGGATTTAAAGAGTTCTCTGGGTTCTAGGATTTGAAGGGTCCTCTAGAAGGTCTAGGATTTGAAGGGTCCTCTAGAAGTTCTAGGATATGAAGCGTTCTCTGGAAGTTCTAGGATTTAAAGAGTTCTCTGGGTTCTAGGATTTGAAGGGTCCTCTAGAAGGTCTAGGATTTGAAGGGTCATCTAGAAGTTCTAGGATATCAAGGGTTCTCTGGAAGTTCTAAGATTTAAAGAGTTCTCTAGGTTCTAGGATTTGAAGGGTCCTCTAGAAGGTCTAGGATTTGAAGGGTTCTCTAGAAGTTCTAGGATATCAAGGGTTCTCTAGAAGTTCTAGGATTTAAAGAGTTCTCTAAAAGTTCTAGGATATGAAGGGTTCTCTAGAAGTTCTAGGACATGAAGGGTTTTCTAGAAGGTCTAGGATTTGAAGGGTCTTCTAGAACAGGGGTCTCCAACCTTGGCAACTTTATGACTTGTGGACTTCAACTTCTGGCTGAGGAATTCTGGGAGTTGAAGTCCACAAGTTGTAAATTTGTCAAGGTTGGAGACCCTTGTTCTAGAAGGTCTAGGATTTGAAGGGTTCTCTAGAAATGAGGGCTCCTTGGTGCTTTCTGAACTTAGTTGTTTTCTTGCAGACATTTCATTTCCCAGCTAAATCAGTGCTCGTCCTGATTTTATTACCTAGTTTACATTATGAAACATCTACAAGAAAACAACCAAGCTCAGAGAGCATCAGGAACCCAACAGCCTTCCTCCTTGTCCCCTTTTCCTCCACTCTGCAAACCCCACTTCCTTCTAGCACTGATGATATTACCCAGCTAGCTAATGAATGATCTGCAAGAAACAAACCAAGCTCAGAGAGCACCAAGGTCCCCAAAGGAACAAATACACCTGGAGAGATCTTCGTTCTAAACTTCCTTTTCCCCATAACCCAAACTCAGATGAGAAGCTATTAGAGATTGAGGATTTGCATCTCTCTCCAAAGGTTGATCGATAGCAAACTTTGGTTTCTCAATCCATCAGCCCCATTGACCGAGATAACTGGCTATTGTAAATTAGCAGTATGGTGTGTGACAATTCACGAGGTTAGCATGCTGGGCTGATGATCAGCAGGATTGTGTTCAAGACCCGTTGCTGCTGCAGGGAGAGGTTGAGTTCCCGTCAGACTCTCCAGCTCCTTGCTGACCCAGCAGTTCGAAAGCAGGTAACCGCGAATAGATTAATGGGTACCACTTCAGTGGGGGACATAAAAGGAGCCCCCAACTGGGCATCCCCCAGACAATGGTGATGATGTCACTGGCAAATCATTTAACCCCAGAAGCACTTTGGTGTCTCCAACACAGGGGGAAAAAAGTTAGTAGTATCACAGGACTCTGTTCCCCACCTCTGGGCTACACAGCCATCTGTTCCCTCAACTTACAGGACCATCTGTGTGGTTGTGCTTTGGTTACAGTTCGGGGATGCAGCCGTACGCATTCTGCAGTGACCCTGGGCGATTGGAGTGACCCACTGGATCCCGACGCAGAAGCTCAGATGGTGTACAAGCAGCTTTTGTTGCATAAAGACAAGCTCAGGTTTGTACGGGGCAAAAGGATTGGTCTGATCCTATTGGACAGGGGGAGGGGGGGCACCGTGCAGGCAGAATTGCATCCGAAGAAGAAGATACAGATAGTTCTTGACTTACACCTACAAGTAACTAACTACAAGTAAGACTTACTTGAACTACAAGTACCCAGAACATTTACCATTAAGTGGTGCAAGTCAGGCTTCATCAGACTGAAATAGGTTTGATTATCCTTTTTGCCGCGGTCATTAAATGAGACACCACAGAATTCTACTTGCGATCTTACCTGCTGGCTTCCCCAATGACTTTGCAAATAGCGGCGGTGGTTTAGAATGCAGGATTGGCCTTTTTTCCAGGGCCGTTGTAAACTTTAACCGGTCACTAAACAAAAGCTCGTAAATCAAGGACTAGTTGTACTAGAATTTATGCCCATCCTGCATAATCCGTCGGGTGGGGAGGAAATGCCTCCAGGTTGACACATCTGGCATGGTGTTGTCCTTTCGCTTGGCCAGCAGGAGGCAGTACACAGCGAGTTTCATTCCTGTTTGATGTTTATCAGGGCTTAAATTTCGCAGAGGTTTCCAGCAGAGGGCAGCCCCAGTTAAGAAATTGTCCCAGGGTTGTCAAGATGATGATGATGATGATGATGATGATGATGCACAATAAAGCAATTAGGTTTGAAGAAGGAAGTTTAAAAAGGTTGGAAGAGCAGATAAAGGATGCAAGAACATGAATGATGTGCTTGTTAAATGATTCGTGAAGATGTGTGAGGTCGTCTTGGTTATTTGATGATGATGATGATGATGATGATGATGGAGGAGGAGGGGGGAGAGGAGGAGGAGGAGAATAGGAAGAAGAAGAAGAAGAAGAAGAGGAGGAGGAGGAGGTGGAGGTGGAGAAGGAGGAGAATAGGAAGAAGAAGAAGAAGAAGTAGAAGAAGAAGAGGAGGAGGAGGAAGATGAGCAGGAGGAGAAGGAGGAGAAGAAGGAGGAGGAGGAGGAGGAGGAGGGGGAGGAGAAGAAGAAGAAGAAGAAGAAGAAGAAGAAGAAGAAGAAGAAGAAGAAGAAGAAGAAGAAGAAGAAGAAGAAGAAGAAGAAGAAGAAGAAGAGGAGGAGGAGGAGGAGGAGGAGGAGGAGGAGAATAGGAAGAAGAAGAAGAAGAAGAAGAAGAAGAAGAAGAAGAAGAAGAAGAAGAAGAAGAAGAAGAAGAAGAAGAAGAAGAAGAGGAGGAGGAGGAGGAGGAAGAGGAGGAGGAGGAGGAGGAGGAGGAGGAGAGGAGGAGGAGGAGGAGGAGGAGGAGGTGGAGGTGGAGAAGGAGGAGAATAGGAAGAAGAAGAAGAAGTAGAAGAAGAAGAAGAGGAGGAGGAGGAAGACGAGCAGGAGGAGAAGGAGGAGAAGGAGGAGGAGGAGAATAGGAAGAAGAAGAAGGAGAAGAAGAAGAAGAAGGAGAAGAAGAAGAAGAAGAAGAAGAAGAAGAAGAAGAAGAAGAAGAAGAAGAAGAAGAAGAAGAAGAAGAAGAAGAAGAAGAAGAAGAAGAAGAAGAAGAAGAAGAAGAAGAAGAAGAAGAAGAAGAAGAAGAAATAGTTAAATTGCTCTGCGACTTCAGAATGTAGACAGACAGGCACCTGCCAGACTTAACAGTTGTCCCTAAGAAAGAGAAAATGAATATGTGGCAGTGCCTGGAGACAGCAGAAGAGAAGAGAAAGAACTGGAGAAGAGAACAAAATACAAACACCTACAAATAGGAATAGAACGACTATGGCAAAGGCAAGCAAGGGTAGTACCAATATAGTCATAGGAGCCTTGGGTGCAATCCCAAAACAACTGGAGTACCATTCGAACACCGTCGGGCATTGACAAATTCACCATCAGTCAATTGCATGGAACAGCTTCCATCCTGCGACAATATCTGTCACACTGTCGAACATCCAGATCTGCCTTTCCCGGGTCTTTGGTAAGGACTCGATAGGTAGACAATGATCTTGATCTTGAGTATAATTGAGTATAATTAATTATACATTAAAGATTGGACACCCCTGCTTTACAACATGCCTTTTTCTTCTTCTTTTTCATTCCTTCTCCTCGAAAGAGCCACTGTAAATAGCAGAGAAAGCTTGCATGCTCCTTTTCTCCAATATTCAACTGGCTTTTCTCATTCGGAGTTTGGATTGAAAACTATTTTTTAAAATTGGTGCTTTCTCTCTCTCTCTCTCTCTCTCTCTCTCTCTCTCTCTCTCTCTCTCTCTCTCTCTCTCTCTCTCTCCCTCCCTCCCTCCCTCCCTCTCTCTCTCTCCCTCCCTCCCTCCCTCTCTCTCTTTCTCTCTGCATTGCTTATGTAAAGGCCATTCCAGGTGTTGAAGATGTCCCGTATTCCTCGTGAGACGTCTGCTCCTAAACCTTGTAATTAATGATGTCGGATGATTAATTGCCCCTTTTCAATTCGCTTTTAAGACTTATTGGCCTGTGATTAATGGCTTGCTTTTCCTACGGTCCCTCTAGGGAAAAGTACCAGGAGATTTCCAACACGGAGGCTACGCAGGAACAAAGCAGTACAGCCAAAAAAGGTAGGCCGGAGTCTTTCGGGTTGCCTAGAAGCTGGGATGGAGGACAGGAAGAGAGGGGTAGAAGGTAGATAAAAATAAACCACCGAAGTGGCTTTGGCGCCATGCGTGATCAACCATGCGTAACTCAGTCAGCGTGTCGCTTCCGTTCAGTAGCTTGACTTTGGCGCCATTCCTCTGCTGTCATCTACACCCAGAGATCTGTCTCCTGTTTTGCACACCGCAGGACCATCGATATACACAAACAGGTTTGCGTACTGTTGCAATGGTCTGTGAGAAAGACCTTGGGAGACAGGAGGAAATGAGATACTGCCTAGGAAATGGACAGAGAAGTGACAGATTAGCCCTCAGCTGCATAGAGGGCTGTAAAAGAGATGGAGGAGACACTATTGCGGCTCGCCAGTGGCCAGCGGATCTGGCAGTAGATTCGGACAGTAAGGAGGGTGGGGAGAAACATGGGCCAGTCCTGGAGTCTGGAGAAGGCTCTGATGAGGGCTCTGCATTGGAGGCAGAGAGGGGGCCAGGGCGAAATGACAGGTATCAGCTGCCTTTGTAGTCAGACATCCGTGGCTCCAGAAGTTAGCAAACGGGCCAATTCTGGCCTCTGGAGGGCCTCCGGGGGGAGTGGGGAAACCTGTTTCTGCCCTCCCCAGGCTCCTAGAGAGGCTCTAGAGCCTGAGGATAGCAAAAAATGGGCCTACCAGGCCCACCGTGTCATCGCATGTGTGGGGTGCGGGGTCCATATAATTATGGGTATGGGCACGCACACACACAACCCTCCCGTGCTCCCCCACTTTTGGCATGCGATGGCAAAAAGGTTAGCCATCCCTGTTCTAGATGCAATGGCATTTTAGTGGGATCTTTCAAATCAAATAGGCATTTCTGAACTGAATCTGGGATTGGAGAGAAATCGTTCAAATCAAACAGAATCCCCCAGTTGGTTGGATAATTCAGAATGGGTTCATCCATCCACAGAAGTCCCATTTCCCTGTTGACTTTTGGATCCCTACTTGTCTTCCCCGATTTTTGGTTTATGAGGAACCCCATTAGTTTTCTCTGGCCAAGCTGAGCAAGGTGGTGTTGTGGCTCTGTTACCTGAGCCTGTGTCATCGGCAGGAGAGGACTCCGAGAGTGAAGGAGAGGAGTTGGCAAGGCCTCCCTCTCCAGGACCCTCCTCTCTGGCAATGCCTTCGGTGTCCGCCGAAGGCAAGAGATAGGGCCGGGGCCAAGCACGTCCACGCAGCCACAGATGGACGGTGATGAGGGTAATGAGTCTTGGCTGGATCCACGCCAGCGTCGCAGAGATAAGCGCACACAACAGAAGAAAAGGCGGGCCCGAGATTAGGCTGAGTCACTGGACCACACCCCACAGGATATAAAAGGGAGCGTGGTGGCCAGTCAAACCTTGTGACGAACAAAGCTGAAAGCTTCCACGCCATTCTGCATTGCCGGACTTTTGCTATAGACTTTGCTGGATTATCTCTGGACTTGATTAACTCCGTAATTATTGAGCTGTTTCTTTTGATGTATCAGAAGTGGGGAGAAGTTATCTCTCCTCTTCGTAAATAATAAACTCTTGGCAGGCAGCCACTAGGTTGTTGCCAAGTTCCGTTATCATAAGGAAAAGGATTTTGCTGGCTGGTTTGGTCTTTAACTCTTGAACGTCTGTTGGTGTGTGTGCGTGTGGTCGGGGACAGAACAGGTGGTGGAATACTAGAAGAAGCACCATTAGAATGTCCGTCTTTGCTAACTCAAGGTTCTTTCTCTCCTCTTCTCTATTCCATACCCAGCTTCAGACAAAAACCAGCGAAGGTTGACTGCAGCTGCCCATCTTCTAGAAGTCATCCAAGGACTGGAGCAGGCCCACAAGGCTTTTGAACATCAAGAAGATGGAGAGAAACCAGGGACTGGCACTGGCACGCTCCCACCCTCCTAGGTGTCATCTCCCGTTGGGACCCAGGTTGTTTTGTCTGTGTTGTCATGATGACGTCGTCTTTACGTCTGTTTGGAGGAGAAAGCAACTACCTACACTGCATTTTATGCTCTTGCTGAACAATGAAGGAAAACAAGAGACTGAGAAGAACGTGGCAGAAATTAAAACGCCTTTCTGTTCAACCGGTGTTCACACGAATCTTTCTCAGAAAAATAGGATGCGAGTCCAGGTTTCTGCTTACCACAGAGATGGATGGAAGTTCGTTCCTCTGGCCCACAAGTCTCCTGTAGCCTAGATTGTGGGTCTGGGCACCATCGTTAATGGTGAAGATCTCTCTCTCTCTCTCTCTTTTCATTATCTTCGTTTAGCAACCCCGTAATCCCTTGCAGAGAGTGTTTACTGGCCAGATGCCCTTCCTGTTGCCAGTACAGAGTTTTGTTCAGCAGATATATTCTCATTGTGCCCAGAAAGAGAAATATCTGGCTCTACCTAGGATTGAACTCACAGCCTCCTGATTGTGAGGCGAGAGCTCCACCGCTAGGCCACCACACCACTCCTTAGCGCTCTCTCTCTCCCCCCCATCTCTCTCTCTCTCTCTCTCTCTCTCTCTCTCTCTCTCTCTCTCTCTCTCTCTCTCTCTCTCTCTCTCTCTCTCTCTCTCTCTCTCTCTCTCTCTCTCTCTCTCTCTCTCTCTCTCTCTCTCTCTCTCACACACACACACACACACACACACACAAAGTTTCTAATCTTTATCACAGAATAAGCTTGAAAATATTGGGGAGGAAGGTCCAATCATGAGAAGAGAGGCTGATGGTTGCACAACGTTTTCAGAGGGGCTGAATAAACTCCCTCTGTAACTCTTTGAGCTGTTCTTCTGGGCTGGTAAAATGCGGGCTACGTAAGCAAACTTTGAAAACTGGAGAATAAAGTCATATAAAATGTGGAAATCGTTGGCTGTGTCTTGCCTAATTTGTCTGGATCAGGGTTCTCCAAACTTGCAACATTAAGACTTGTGGATTTCAAGTCCCAGAATTCCCTACCCAGCATGGAAACCTCTGGTCTAGATCACCCAGCGGGCTGTTCTAATGAACTGGGATATCTTGGCTCTGGAATGTCAGTTTTCTATGCCCTCTTTCTTTCTTTCTTTCTTTCTTTCTTTCTTTCTTTCTTTCTTTCTTTCTTTCTTTCTCTTTCTCTTCTCTTTTCTTTCTTTCTTTCTTTCTTTTATTAAATTTATATACTGCCCTACTCCCGAAGGACTCAGGGCGGTGAACAGGCACAGAATAAAATACTGGTGTTTGTTCACCTTTGGTCCTCACCTGGTGCTCAGCTTTTCCCTTCCTTCCTTTCCTTCCTTCCTTCCTTCCTTCCTTCCTTCCTTCCTTCCTTCCTCTATCCATCCCTTCTCCCATTTCTCTCTCCAACTTCCTTCCTTTCTTCCTTCCATCCCTTCCTTCCTCTATCCATCCCTTTGTTTTTCTCTCTCCAACTTTCTCCTCCTCCTTCCTCCTTCCTTCCTAACTTCCTCCCTCTCTCTATCCATCCCTTCTTCCATTTCTCTCCAACTTTCTCCTTCCTTCCTCCCTCTCTCCCTCTTTTTCATCCCTTCTTCCATTTCTCTCTCCAACTCTCCTTCCTTCCTCCCTCCTTCCCTTCTTCCATTTCTCTCTCCAACTTTCTCCTTCCTTCCTCCCTCCCTCGTTTCTCTCTCCCAACTTTCTCCTTCCTCCCTCCCTTCACCCATCCATCACTTCTTCCATTTCTCTCCAACTTTCTCCACCCTCCCTCCCTTCTTCCATTTCTCTGTCCAACTTTCTTCCTCCCTCCCTCCCTCCCTCCCTTCACCTTCTTGTTTCTCTCTCCAACTTTCTCCTTCCTTCCTTCCTTCCTTTCTTTCTCCCTCTATCCCTCCCTCCCTCTATCCATCCCTTCTTCCGTTTCTCTCTCCAACTTTCTTCCTTCCTCCCTCCCCCCTCCCTTCCTCTATCCATCCCTTCTTCCATTTCTCTAATTTTCTCCTTCCTTCCTTCCTTCCTTCCTTCCTTCCTTCCTTCCTTCCTTCCTTTCCTTCCTTCCTCCCTCCCTTTTTTTTTCTTTCTTTCTCTCTGACTGTTTTAACCACACCCTGTATGCTCCCCTGCTCAAATTCCCTGATCTCTGAAGGGAACCTGTGCGGTGCCACGTTGTCCTGCCACAGATGGTGAGGGATATCAAAATTTACCCTAAGCCACCCCCATTATCCTCCCTTCTTCTTCTTCTTCTTCTTTCTCTAGCAAAACAGTTCGGCAGCTAACAGGAAACGTGCCACCAAATTAGGTTTAGAGGGCCAGAGGCAAACACATCTGTTGGTACCCACTGCAACCTCTCTCTCTTTCTCTCTCTCTGTTAAACAGATGGTTTAAATTTAAACAAAATAGAAAATACCTCCTGGCAGAGAAGGGCTGCAGTCTCCAGCGTGACCTTTATTTCCGAGAGTTGAAATCAATGTCCATCCTCATTTCCCCTTTATCCTTCTCTCCAAGTGTTATGAAGATTTAATTTATTTTTCATTGCAAAAGGGGGGGAAAAAATGAAATGCTTCATTGGAAGTCACTGTCGTTGGCTCATTGGAGGATGTTCCTGTCACCTCCAAATAAGGTTAGGAAAGACTCCAATTTGAACATCTGGAACATAAATCAGGGGCCGGATAGAGCAAGTTAAGAGAAACCAGGATTTTGAATTTTGCATAAGGCTGCTTGTCCTTCTCTTCGCTAGAATAAATGTACCCAGTTCCTGCAACCCTTCTTTGTATGTTTTAGCCTCCATTTATAACATGACAAAGCAGAGATGCCCCCCAGGTGTCCAGAAATGTACCTATCAGATACCTTTTTTTAAAAAAATTGATTTATATGCCGCCCTCCTCCGGAGACTCAGGGCGGCTTACAATGTGCTAAGCAATAGCCTTCATCCTTTTGTATATTTATACAAAGTCAGCTTATTGCCCCCACAAACTGGGTCCTCAATTTACCTACCTTAGAAAGGATGGAAGGCTGAGTCAACCTTGAGCCTTGGCGAGATTCGAACCTGCAGTAATTGCAGGCAGCTGTTCTTAATAACAGGGTGCTTTAGACCACTGTACTCTGCTGATCCAGTTCTACAGGGGAATTATTGCACCTCTATAACTATCTGGTTTGGCTCTGCAACCCAACAAGAGAGACCCAGACTTCAGAGGATCATTAGAACTGCAGAAAATACAATGGCTACCAACCTGCCTTCCATGGAGGACCTGTATACTGCACGAGTCAAAAAGAGGGCTGGGAAAATATTTACAGACCCCTCACATCCTGGACATAAACTCTTTCAACTCCTACCCTCAAAACGACGCTATAGAGCACTGCACACCAGAACAACTAGACACAAGGACAGTTTTTTTTCCCGAATGCCATCACTCTGCTAAACAAATAATTCCCTCAACACTGTCCTACTGTTTACTAAGTCTGCACTACTATTAATCTTCTCATCGTTCCCACCATCCATCTCCTTCCACTTATGACTGTATGACTGTAATTTTGTTGCTTGTATCATTTGTATCCCACGACTATCATTTTGTACCTTATGATTCTTGATGAACGTATCTTTTCTTTTATGTACACTGAGAGCCTATGCACTGAAGACAAATTCCTTATGTGTCCAATCACACTTGGCCAATATTCTATTCTATTCTATTCTATTCTATTCTATTCTATTCTATTCCATTCCATTCCATTCCATTCCATTCCATTCCATTCTGAGCCCTCTGGAGCTTCTCATGATGTTTGCTGACCAATCCTGCACTGGTGACACCACGGCCAATCAACATTTTGCTCTGTTTCGTCCCATTTTTATTTATTTTTTTATTGTTGCTGTTGCCGTCGTTATTGCATCTGCTTGATATGGACCAAAGCTGTGTATAGAAGTTACATTTTCTCCTGTAAAAAAGTCATTTCCATCCAATTTGGCAACTTGTCCCAGTCTTGCCCTCACATCTGGATAATTGAACATGCTACATAAAATGGTGGAGGATAGAAAGTTCACCAGCAGCGGCCTGGAAGGGACCATCTCTTCCATCTCATCTCCAGAACTGATCCAGGCTGTTACAAGAAACCAGAAACATTCTGGTCATTCGCTCTTTTTTTGTTTTGTTTTTCATCTTGCAACGTAGGAGAACCTCAAATTGTCACACGGATGTCAAGCAAGGGGAGACAAAGGAGGTGGCATCTTATTGGCTAAAGGCCTGGTCCTTTTCAGGAGTGGCAGAAGCAATGGGAGCAATTGCCTTCCCCCCCTCCCAGCTTCAGACATGCCGAGATCTCCCAATGGATTGGTACTTTGCTTTCACCATGTAGGAGGACGATTGTTCTCCAAGGCTTCAGAATATGGGCAGGGGTGGGCTGCTGGGAGTTCGCAGGAGTTCGGGAGAACCTCTAGCTAAGATTCTATGCAGTTCGGAGAACCCCCAAATCTCACTCCTGGCTGGCCCCGCCCACCTTGCCCCTCCCTTCCCAGGAGTCCCCACGTGGCCTGTTTTGGATGCAGGTAAGTGCAGGGCACATGCAGAGGCTCAAGGAAGGTGAAAAAAGGGCCTACCGGAAGTTTGGGAAGGCTGGAAATGGGCCTGTTTCTGGCCTCCGGAGCCTGGGGAGGCCGTTTTTGTCCTCCCGGAGGCTCAAGAAAAGCCTCTGAAGCCTGGGGAGGGCAAAAATGCCCCCCCTCCAGCCGTGGTGCAGGAGGCCGACTAGGCCACGCCCACCATGACAATGCCCACCCAGCAACCAGGCAGAGAACCCCTTGCTAAAATTTTTGAAGCCCACCCCATTGTCAACGAAGGACCAAAAAAAGTAGAATAGCGAAAGGGATGCAGATATTCGGTGTCGCAGGACGCAAGGAATCTGTCCCTCTTTCCATCACCGCCCAAGCGGTCCAGAATCCAGGTCCAAAACTTGTCTATTTTGGTGTTTGAGGAGATGACGAGAAGATGATGTACGACCGACCGTCAGAAAGGTCCGCTTGTTCAAGAATTGTGGGTGGGAGTCAGTGGTGAGTTTCAATTTTTTTTTACTACCGGTTCTGTGGGTGTGGTTTCGTGGGCGTGGCATGGCTTGGTGGGTGGGGCTTGGTGGGCGGGGCAGGGGAAGGATACTGTAAAATCTCCATTCCGTCCCCACTCCAGGGGAACTGCAAAATCCCCATTTCCTCCCGATCAGCTGGGACTCGGGAGGCAGAGAATAGATGGGGGTGCGGCCAGTCAGAATTTTTACTACCGGATCTCCGAACTACTCAAAATTTCTGCTACCGGTTCTCCAGAACTGGTCAGAACCTGCAGGAAACCCACCACTGGTGGGAGTATTATAAAGGACCAAGTATCTGGTTTATCCTGCAACGTATAATTTTGGGTTTGTTAAATAAACAGCCAACCAAAGGGAATCTGTGTGGATTATGGGAAAGGAGAAGATCTTGTGGGCTTTCCCGCTCTTCATCCGCTGTAGCTCCACTTAGAAAAACCTCCCCCATTTTGCAATATATATATATATATATATATAAGAAAAAACATTGCAGCCCCCCAACCTTTGGGACACCAGGAACCGGTTCCATGGAGAGGGTTTTTTTTCCACGAATCGGTGTGGTTTGGCATTCTGCCGACATCCTGCGGATGGGGCTTTGCTTGTTTGCACGGTCCGGTTTCTGACATGCCACGGACCGGTGCTGCTCCACGAACCGGGGTTGGGGGACCGCTGAACTAAGAGGGCAAACTTTGCATTTGATCAGTGAAAGAGGCTGGGAGTCAGAGACAGAACCAAAGAGACGAGGCCCTTTTAAGTTGCACGGAAGGTAGACACGACAAAGCCGGTCGACAACGGATCTACCCCGTTTGTGAAGCCACAATGTCTGCCCTTCCTTAGGTGCTCCACTTGGATCTTCTTTCCTGCTTCTCTGGACAGAGCCACAAAGGCAACCCGAGAAAAAAGCGAGGAACAGAGACAAAAGGAGGCAGGACAACCTGGACGTGAGATTTTGAGTAGTTGGAGGTGGAGGGCTTGATGGGGTACTGAGCTTTGAACCCATGGGAATGGCCAAGAAATATACACCTATGTAGGGGGGAAAAAAAGAAGAAGAGAAGAGCAAAAAGCTTGCATGGGTCGTTGCTCACTCACAAAGCTTCTGATTTGTTTCTCCGGGGAGGGATCATGTTGCGAATCCTGCCAGGGATGGTGGAGGAAAGCACCCTGCATCCTCCATGGTTGGAAGTCAAGCTAGTCAAAGCGACTTGGGAAGGTGGAAGGAACCATCCCAAACACAGCTGCCTCACCAGTGGGCGAACACAAGACACGGACAGACAGATGGAGGAGAGGAGAGACAGGCAGTGGCTTGCGCTGCACAGGGCGAAATGGAGGCAGGAGGAACGTTGGGTGGAGGGAGGCAAAAAAAAAACCCGCACACCTTCTCAGTCCTTCAGGTTGGCTTCCAAGACCCCCTGGGCCGTCAGTTCAGCCAGGACATTGTCCAGATAGTTCAGGTCAGGATAGCCGTGGCCAGTGAGGTTGGAGCCAAATTCGGTTTTGTGGTGGATCTCGTTCCACACCACAGTGTCCGATTCACCAGTCGTGTTCGAGGTCCCGATGGTGAAGATGAGCCGGCGTTCCCAGGCCACAATGAGGAGTTTCAAAATCTGGAGGAGGAGAAGGTAATATATATATATATATATATATTGACTTTCCACAACCTCCCCAGTTCCTTCTTCAGGCCCTGCTACTTCTCATACTTTTTCTTCCTGATCTTGTTCTCCTTTGGCACTTCTACAGCTATTACCACCACTGTCTTCTGGTCCTTCTACTACCACGATGTCTGGTTGATTGGCTACCACTTGCCTGTCTATCTGGACCATGATTGTCTTCTGGTCCTTCTACTACCATGAGTCTGGTTGATTGGTTACCACTTGCCTGTCTATCTGGACCACGATTGTCTTCTGGTCCTTCTACTACCACGATGTCTGGTTGATTGGTTACCATTTGCCTGTCTATCTGGACCACGATTGTCTTCTGGTCCTTCTACTACCACGATGTCTGGTTGATTGGTTACCACTTGCCTGTCTAGCTGGACCACGATTGTCTTCTGGTCCTTGTACTACCACGATGTCTGGTTGATTGGTTACCACTTGCCTGTCTAGCTGGACCACGATTGTCTTCTGGTCCTTGTACTACTACACGATGTCTGGTTGATTGGTTACCACTTGCCTGTCTAGCTGGACCACGATTGTCTTCTGGTCCTTCTACTACCACAATGTCTGGTTGATTGGTTACCACTTGCCTGTCTATCTGGACCACGATTGTCTTCTGGTCCTTCTACTACCACAATGTCTGGTTGATTGGTTACCACTTGCCTGTCTATCTGGACCACGATTGTCTTCTGGTCCTTCTACTACCATGATGTCTGGTTGATTGGCTACCATCTGCCTGTCTGTCTGGAAGTCCCACAGGTGGTAGCCAATCAACATCCTGGTGGTAGACAAGGACCAGAGGACAGTGATGGTGATAGACATAGTGGTGCCAACTGAGAGCAACATGAGGAAGAAAGAGAATGTGAAGTACCAGGGCATATATAGGAATACCATCAACACAAAACAGAAGCAATGAGTTCACGAAGGCAAAGAACGGTGACTACTTAAGTATGTTCTACTTTAAGTCCACTAAGGTCAGGGAAAGGGACACAGTGGCTCAGTGGCTAAGACGCTGAACTTGTCGATCGAAAGGTCGGCAGTTCAGTGGTTCGAATCACTAGTGCCGCGTAACGGGGTGAGCTCCTGTGACTTGTCCCAGCTTCTGCCAACCTAGCAGTTCGAAAGCAAGTGAAAAATGCAAGTAGAAAAATAGGGACCCCCTTTGGTGGGAAGGGAACAGCGTTCTGGGCGCCTTTGGCATTGAGTCATGGCGGCCACATGACCACTGAGACATCTTTGGACAGCGCTGGCTCTCCGGCTTTGAAACGGAGATGAGCACCGCCCCCTAGAGTCAGGAACGACTAGCACATATGTGCGAGGGGAACCTTTACCTTTACCTTTTAAGGTCAGGGAAAGGGAGCACTTACCTTTCTGCCTTTCTCATTGTCCGGAAGGTAACAGTGACGTGGGAATCCTCGTGCGGTGAACTTTTTCCCAGGATTTGGATGCTCTATGCCCTGCTTAAGCAAAAAAAAAAAAAAGAGTTGGGAGAGGCAACAAAACACGCGTCTGTTCCACAATGTGTGTCTTATGGAAGGGAGTACAGATAATCCTCGATTTACAACCGGTTGAAGTTACAATGAAGTTATCATCCATTAGAAATGACAGGTAGCCGTGGTGGCGCAGTGGTTAGAATGCAGTACTGCAGGCTACTTCTGCTGACTGCCAGCAGTTTGGCAGTGCGATCCTGACTGTCTCAAGGTTGACTCAGCCTTCCGTCCTTCCGAGGTGGGTAAAATGAGGACCCAGATCGTTGGGGGCAAGAGGCTGACTCTGTAAACCGCTTAGAGAGGGCTGGAAAGCACTGTGAATCAGTATATATGTCTAAGTGCTATTGCTATTGCAGGCAAACTCTGCCCATTGCCAGGAGTTCGATTTTTCACCGGCTCAAGGTTGACTCAGCCTTCCATCCTTCCGAGGTGGGTAAAATGAGGACTCATATTGTTGGGGGCAAGATGCTGACTCTGTAAAGCGCTTAGAGAGGGCTGTAAAAGCACTGTGAAGCAGTATATAAATCTAATCTATCTATCTATCCATCCATCCATCCATCCATTCATCCATCCCTCTATTGTCTGTCTGTCTGTCTATCTATCTGTCTGTCTGTCACGGTGGTGCAGTGGTTAGAGTGCAGTACTGCAGGCTACTTCTGCCGATTGCTGGCTGTCTGCAATTTGGCAGTTCAAATCTTACTGGCTCAAGGTTGACTCAGCCTTCCGTCCTTCCGAGGTGGGTAAAATGAGGACCGAGATTGTTGGGGTTTGCAAGAGGCTGACTCTGTAAACCGCTTAGAGAGGGCTGTGAAGCACTGTGAAGCGGTATATAAGTCTAAGGGCTATCACTATTGCTGTAGTCCGCAACAACGACCCTGAAAATAGGGACTTATGTCTATTTCTCACACTTACGCCTGTTGGAGCATCCCTAAAGACTAACTCAACCACTGCAGTGATTCACTTAACAAATGTGGCAAGAACGGTCGTAAAACGGGGCAAAACTCACTTATCACAAATGTTTCACTTAGCCATATACATTTCAGGCTCCATTGTACGTCAAAGGCTACCTGTAATGCATTCTCCTTCTCACCTGGATCCCCGCAGGAATGTTGTACACAATGCGGATAGTTTTGCAATCCGGATAGCCAGGGAGAGAGTGAGGGATAATGTGGAATTCCATCTTTCCAGGAGGCTGAGTTCCCGTCTTCTCCCCATAGATGGCCTTGCAAGTCGGGCACTGGAGACTCCCATCCTGGGAGGCAGAAGAAAGCGAGAAGGTGAGGAGGAGGTCTAAGGACTTATTTACAATCTTATTTCATTTTTCAACATAGTGACTAAATTCGTAGACCAGCAAAATGCTATGCACAAAATGTACTTAGACCGCTTTTATTATTATTATTATTTTTTACAAATAATTTAAAGCAACAAATACACATAATAGTTTTTCCTCTTCCTATTTTCCCCACAACAACAACAACAACCCTGTGAAGTGATTTGGGCTGAGAGAGAGAGACTGGCTCTAAGTCGCCAGGCTGGCTTTCATGCCTGAGGTGGGATTAGAACTCACCGTTTCTTGGTGATTGGCCCGAAGTCAACCACTCAGCCTTCAGGCTTCAGATGGAACGATAACTCATTGTCTGCTGCTTTCTAGTCTTAACCACTAGACCAATCTTTCTTTCTTTCTTTCTTTCTTTCTTTCTTTCTTTCTTTCTTTCTTTCTTTCTTTCTTTTTCTTTCTTTCTTTCTTTCTTTTTCTTTCTTTCTTTTCCTTCCTTCCTTCCCTCTTTCTCTCTCAACTATCTATCATGTCTATATCCATCCATACATCCATCCATCCATATCTATCTATCTATCTATCTATCTATCTATCTATCTATCTATCTTCTATCTATTTATCATGTCTGTCTTTCTGTATCTCTGTATCTCTCTATATCTATCATCTATCTTTCTATTATCTATCTTATCTTATCTTAATCTCTATTTATCTATCTATTTATCATGCTTGTCTGTCTGTCTTTTTGTATCTATCTATATCTATCTATCTATCTATCTATCTATCAATCATCATGTCTGTCTTTCTGTATCTCTCTATATCTCTCTATCATCTATCTATCTATTATCTATTATCTATTATCTATTATCTATTATCTACTATCTACTCTTCTCTTCTCATCTCATCTTATCTTATCTCTATCTATCTATTTATCATGTCTGTCTTTCTGTATCTATCTATCTATCTATCTATCTATCTATCTATCTATCTATCTATCTATCTATCTATCTATCTAATTTATATACTGGTCATCTCACTGTTTGGGGTGAGTCCATATATTTCTTTATTTATTTCTATTTCTTTTCTGTTTCCAAATTCTCTAAATTCTAAAGCCATTTGGGCTCAATTCTATTTTCCATGGGGTGGGGGAGGGAGATTGAGACTCTCTGCCCCCAAACCAATAATGACCCCTCCCCCCCCGATTCCCCCCAGCTACCCATTGGAATCCAGGCTCACCTTATTGCCGTTGTTGTACATGGCAACGAGACAAAGGAGGTGGTACATGTGCCCGCATTTCCCCAGTTTTCCTACCAGTTCCGGCTTGGCACCCTTGTGCCTGAGGATACCCTCATAACCCGAGGAGGACACCAATCTCTCCATGCAGATGGTACAGTCCTGTTGGGGGGGGAGAACAAATAGGGGGTGTCAGCAATAATTAATAAGGAGGGAAGTTGGATTCCAGGGAGCTGCAAAGCACTGGGAGTAAATTAAAAACAATGAATATGGACTAATAGGGAGGGACCTTGGAGGTCTTCTACTCTACTTCTAGCCCTAGTTCTAATCTTGTTCTAGAGACAGATTGTTGCTGGGAGATTGTTTGTGCCAAGGATGAACCAGTTATTTATTAGGAGCTTCATGTCGGCACTTTCCAAGTGCAGCCAACTCTGACCCCACGTAATTTACGCCCCAATCATGACCCTGTTTCCCCCCTGCCCCCCCAGGGTGTGTCATCAATCACATTCGCCAACTGGAGCAATTTCGAGGATTGTAGAAATCACTCCCCTCCGGCCGCTGTGGGTAACCCTAGGAGACAGCCTTGAGAGAGATATGTCTGGAATGTGCCTTTGTTCTTGGCTGCCGTGCTGCTTCGTTGGTTTCCCATCCCCCCTTGCCTATGGCAACTCGAGAGCAGGCCAGGGATGCTTTGCGAGTTGACAGAGAGATTACCTATAGATCCAATTCTTCTATCTTCAATCCCCCCAAAAACAATCACTGGAGTTAAGAGAGAGACTGGCCCCAAAATTTTGTGGTTCAGGCTGGGAACTGAATTCTGGGTTTCCCTGGTGGCAACCCAGCCTCTGAACCACTGGACATGCTCAAGCAATCTCTGTGGGTGGAAATACATATTCACCGGTGCCTTTCAGTGACTCAGAATCCTGAAATGTATCACAAACTATTTCATGATAATAACCTGCACCACCTTGGTGCAAATATAAGCACTTTCCTGTTGCTGGAAATTAAAACACCTGAGATCTCACGTCTAGCAGCTCCTTTGCTCCAAGTCATTTGCTTTCTATTTTTAATCCTTATTTCATCTCAAACCTCTTCTTCTTTTAAACACCTCGAGACTGCAGGATCTCTCCTCCTTTTACTCCGCAAACAGCCTTGCAAAGTACGCTAAAACATAGAATAATAGGGTTGGAAGAGACCTTGGAATCCAACTTCCTTCTCAGGCAGGAGACTCTATATCACCCCAGACAAGTGGCTGTCCAATCTCTTCTTGAAAAGCTCCAGTGATGGATTTATATTTACCGACAAAGAAATAAAGGGAGGCTAGTATAGAATCTATTTCAAGCTATTTAGCTCTCATCAGCTAGCCATACCCTTTCTGGGACTCAAATCCTGGCTGCTTGCATATTAGGTAGATGTATTAACCTCTAAACCACGGGCTCTCCTCATTTTGTCAGCTGTACCAGGGGAGAGATTAAGTGTTTTTTTTTTCAATCAGGGCAACCTGGTCTACCCAAATATGGGAAGGAGGATACTTCGCAGGCATTCGTTTTCACGACAAACTATTTTTGTGTTGAATTTATATTTACTGACGAAGAAATAAAGGGAGACTAGTCTCTTTATTTTAGACTCCTTACTAGTCTGTACTAGTAAAGTCCCTTTATTTCTTTGTCAGTAAATATACCATATTTTTTGGAGTATAAGATGCACCTTTCCCCCCCCAAAAAAGGGTGAAAATCTGGGTGTGTCTTATACTTCAACTGTAGCCTTGCCCAGCCTCTCAAACGGAGGTTTCAGAGGCTGAAAAAAGCCTCTGAAAGGAAGCTTCAGGAAAAAAGCCTCCAAATAGAGCTTCAGAAAAAAAAGCCTCTGAAAGAAGCTTCAGGAAAAAAGCCTCCAAACAGAGCTTCAGAAAAAAAGCCTCCAAACAGAGCTTCAGAGGCTTTTTTTCTGAAGCTCTGTTTGGAGGCTTTCAGAGGCAGGAAAAAATTTTTTTTTTCTGAAATGAAGTTTCAGAGGCTGAAGAAAAAGCAAGGCACGGAGCTCACAACCAATGAACCTGTTGCTAAAATTCACCTCTGGGAACAGCTGATTGGGGGTATTCCGGGAAGGCCGATCCACCCGCCAATCATCTTTTTTCTTATTTTCCTCCCCAAAAGCTAAGGTGCGTCTAATACTCCGGTGTGTCTGATACTCCGAAAAATACAGTAAATTTAACGCAAAAATAGTTTGTCATGAAAGTGATTGTCTGCGAAGGCTCCTGGATTGGGGCCGAAAGGTGAAAGGAAACCAGTATGCTCCGTCCCACATTTGGGAGACCAGGTTGCCCTGATAGGAAAAAGTGATGGAGCACCAGCAGTGGGTTTAACATTATGTTACTTCCGGTTAGCCATGAGCGTGCCCGGTTTGCACGCACACCTGCCTTCCACACATGTGCCCGGCCTAAAAAATGTGCCTAAATAGGATGGCATTTCCGCTACCAGTTCGGGCGAACCGGTTTGAACCAGCTGAATACCACCTCTATGGTGGTATAACTTCAGAAGGTAAGCTGTTCCACTGATGGATTGTTCTTAATGTCATGAAATACTACATTGGGAAGAGGGATCAATCGACTCATGTCTGGCTATTTGACCCTTTTTCTACCACAATGGTGTGTCAGAAAATAGGGTAACTCACCTCGTCGGGAGGGTTCTTCACTTTCTGGATGTAACGTCGCACCACATCCTCAGGGTTTCTGCCTGGAGAGAAGAGAAGAGTCAGTGCTGACTCAAAGGCACGAATACACGCACACCCATAGAGACAATGAAAATTGTCTTCTTAGACACGGTGACTGCTGCTGTTAGTTCACTGCTCTAGTCCTCATGAAAACCATTTTATGCCTCTCCATTCCCACCTGCGCCAATCGGTTTCGGTCAAACCAATGCAAAGTCTGATCCTATCCAGAGCCAAACAGTTGACTCTCTACGGCCTTTCAGAATTTCCCACAGTGCTCAGGGTACTTGATGCGGCATGCCACCTGGTTAGGATGCAAAATGGCCGCCAACCCTAAAAGGGTCCAAAAGGCAGTGCCCAGCGTGAGACCCCACATTTTAATCCCTCAGAGACCAAGGAGGAAGACAGCTTACTCTTCTTCAAATGTTTCTTCTTGGTTTTACGGCAAATGCCGGTAATGCCCGGCACGGCCTTCATGTCACTCTTGTTGACAGGCGGCGGGTGCAAGATGGGCTTTGGAGCTCGCGTCAGACAAACGGGCAAACCTGCTGCACACATCAAGATGCCAGTCATTCCTGGAAGAGAGAAAGAAAGTGATTCTAACAAAACTAATCCCATATGTTTTGATTTAACAGACCTTTGGATTTAACAGACCTTTGGATTTAACAGACCTTTGGATTTAACAGACTTTTGGATTTAACAGACCTTTGGATTTAATAGATTTTTGGATTTAACAGACTTTTGGTTTTAACAGACTTTTGGATTTAACAAACCTTTGGATTTAACAGACATCTGGATTTAACAGGCATGACGTCCTGTCAAACAGTTTGTTAAATCAAGGTTTTCACTGTTCCTTAATAAAAAAAAAATCAGACGGGAGCACCTTTTCTGTCTAGCATATTTTACTAAAAAGGCATCATTTCATTTACTACTTTTACCTGCCAAGGCAGGGTGGACTGGACCAGTTCCATTCAGATTCTTCACCGGGAGAGCAGGAACCCTGGAAGAGAAAGATGGAGGAGATTTGAACAGGAATCCCTTGAAGGAACGCATGCTTTTGGAACATCCCAAAAGGATATTATTTTACCCTTCAAAATCTTCCCTTGCAGCCTTGCCAAGCACCTTAGTCCACCTGGCTTTCAAACAAACAAACAAATCACTTTCTCATAGTAGACAATGTATCTACTCAGGTTGAGTATGTTGGATTCTCAGAATTTGGTTGATTTCCTGCAGATGTTTCATAACCAGGGTAGGTAACAGCATCAATATCCCAAAAATTCAAAATACTATTTTTCCCCCTGGGAATTCTTTGTAAAATATTCTTTAATTTGAAAGTTCTGATCCAGCTGGTCTCCTCCTCCTCCTCCTCTTCCCCCCTCCCTTTCCCTTCTCCTCCACCTATTCCTTCTCCATCTCCTCCACCTCCCTTCCCCTTCCTTTCCCTTCTCCTCCACCTATTCCTTCTCCATCTCCTCCACCTCCCCTTCCTCTTCCCTTTCCCTTCTCCTCCACCTATTCCTTCTCCATCTCCTCCACCTCCCCTTCCCCTCCCTTTCTCCTCCTCCTCCACCTCCCTTCTTCTCCTTCTCTTTAGACTCTGTGTTTGCACTTGTGTGTGTTAGTATATATGGGTATGTGCATCGATCAGTGTACAAATATGTGTCTATGTGTATGTATGTGGTGTTGTGGGCATATATGGTTATTTAACAGATTAACAGAGTTGGAAGGGACTTTATAGGTCATCTAGTCCAACCCCCTGCCCAAGTAGGAGACCCTACACCATTCCATACAAAGGACTGTCCAACATCTTAAAAGCGTCCAGTATTGGAGAATTCACAACTTCTGAAGTTTAAGTCGTTCCACTGGTTAATTGTTCTCACTGTCAGGAAATTCCTCCTTAGTTCTAAGTTGCTTCTCTCCTTGATTAGTTTCCACCCATTGCTTCTTGTCCTGCCCTCAGGTGCTTTGGAGAATAGCTTGACTCCCTCTTCTTTGTGGCAGCCCCTGAGATATTGGAAGAACTGCTATCACGTCTCCCCTAGTCCTTCTTTTCATTAAACTAGACATACCCAGTTCCTGCAACCGTTCTTTATGTTTTAGCCTCCAGTCCCCTAATCATCTTCCTTGCTCTTCTCTGATACAGATGTTCCCAAGGATTATAAGCAGATAAAGAGAACATTGACTTTGTCAAACATTCATCAGTAAACTGTTCCTTTGTCACCAGCAGGATTAACTCCCGACCGATTCCTCTCTAGCGCAACCAGATGGCCGACCACATTTCGCTTGCAACTCAGGGGTCTTTGGTGGAAGGGCCTGCAAAAACATAACCAACCCCCCCCCTCCCCCCCCCCCCCCCCCCCAGCAAAATTCTCTTCATCCTCCAGATGGTCTTACAAGCAGAGCTGCTAAAAATAACCACATTCCCCTTCTCTGCCAACAGGGCTGGTTTTGACAACTACGATGAGTTATTTCTCAAAGAAAGACACTCCCACCGTGTGTGTGTGTATGTTTTCCTAGTTTTATTCTCACGACGACAACTATGTCTGGAACCCGCACTGCATATCGGACGTTATTACAATTGAGCGCGTCCAGAAATATTTCACAAGAAGAGTCCTCCACTCCTCTGCTCGTAACACAATACCCTATGCCACCAGACTTGAAATTTTGGGCTTAGGCAATTTAGAACTACGCCGCTTTCGGTATGACCTAAGAGTAGCTCATAAAATCATCTGCTACAATGTCCTATCTGTCAATGACTACTTCAGCTTCAACCACAACAATACACAAGCACACAACAGATGCAAACTTAAAGTGAGCCGCTCCAAACTCGATTGCAGAAAAAATGACTTCAGTAACAGAGTTGTTAATGCCTGGAATGCACTACCAGACTCTGTGGTCTCATCCCAAAACCCCCAAAACTTTAACCTAAAACGGTCTACTGTTGACCTCACCCCATTCCTAAGAGGCCTGTAAGGGACGTGCATAAACGACTAGCACGTATGTGCGAGGGGAACCTTTACCTTTACCTTTTAACCATGCTGTGGAGATACTTGACAAAGGCCCCAATATCACAATTCAGGTAGTCCTCAACTTATGACCATTGGAAGGAAGTGTCTTAGAACTAACCTTCACCTTTGCTACAGCGTCCCCACGGACATGATCAAAATTCAGATGCTTACAAATGGCATGTATTTACGGCGCATCCCACGGTCTCATGAATGTCATTTGCAGCTACTCAAGGGGCAACTGACAAGGAAAATCAATAGGAGAGAAGCCGGATTCACTTAAGAACCATGTGGCAAAAAAAAAAAAAAGGTAAAAATGTTAACTGGGAGCCAAATTTCCTTCTTTGGCATCATTTTTGGGCCAAAATACCTGATTTTCACCTGCTGTCAGCAACTAACCTTACTACTCTGTTCCTAGCCTGGATTTCCAAATATAACTTGCAGGAGCGCTGGTTCCAGACATTCAAAATCCCCTAAAAAATGCACAACTCACAATCTAAAACGATCGCTGCACCCTTCAAGCACGTTAACCTGCTCGCACTCTTAAAGGTAAAGGTTCCCCTCGCACATCTGCGCTAGTCGTTCCCGACTCTAGGGGGTGGTGCTCATCTCCGTTTCAAAGCTGAAGAGCCAGCGCTGTCCGAAGACGTCTCCGTGGTCATGTGGCCGGCATGACTCAACGCCAAAGGCGCACGAAACGCTGTTCCCTTCCCACCAAAGGGGGTCCCTGTTTTTCTACTTGCATTTTTTTACGTGCTTTTGAACTGCTAGGTTGGCAGAAGCTGGGACAAGTCACAGGAGCTCACCCCATTACGCGGCACCAGGGATTCGAACCGCTGAACTGCCGACCTTTCGATCGACAAGCTCAGCATCTTAGCCACTGAGCCACTGCGTCCCTCCTCACACCCTTACACAGACACATACAAAAAAAAACTCCACACGTTCTTCCTCTCCGACTCCTTTTTTTTTTTTGCTGACACCGACAGTCATCTCCGGTGCCGGCAGCAATAAATCTCAGGACAGCGATTTGCCCATTGGCTCATCTTACCTAGTTGTTGACATAGCAGATCCTGCAAGGAGGAATAATCGTTGTGTAACATTCACAATCGCAACAGCCAAAAGAAAAAAGAAAAAAAAACCCGAACAGCACTAGAAGGAAGTGCGTGCGAAGTGCAGCAAGAAAACAATGTTTGCAGGTGCTTAGCTTTTCTGGGTGTAAAAGGAACTTGCTCTAAACGTTCCCCACTTTCATTTTGACTAACGAATAAATATAAATAGCCCTTTCTAGTATGCCAACCTGAAAAAAAAAAGTCTCTCTTCTGTAAATTGAGAAGATTTAGAATAACAGAGTCGAAAGGGACCCTTGGAGGTCTTCTAGTCCAACCCCCTGCTTAGACAGGAAACCTTACACCACTTCAGACAAATGGTTATCCAACATCTTCTTAAAAAGTTCCAGTGTTGGACCATTTACAACTTCTGGAGGCAAGTTGTCCCACTGATTAATTGTCCTCACTGTTAGGATATTTCTCCTAAATTGCTTCTCTCCTGGATTAGTTTCCACCCATTGCTTCTTGTCCTGCTTTCAGGTGCTTTGGAGAATAGCTTGACTCCCTCTTCTTTGGGGCAGCCCCTGAGATATTGGAACATTGCTATCCTGTCCTTCTTTCCTAGTCCTTCTTTCCATTAAACTAGACATCCCCAGTTCCTGCAACCATTCTTCATTAGCCTCCAGTCCCCTAATCATCTTTGTTGCTCTTCTCTGCACTCTTTCTAGAGTCTCAACATCATTTTTACATCGTGGCGATCAAAACTGGATGCAGGATTCCAAGTGTGGCCTTATTACCAAGGCCTTATAAAATGGTATTAACACTTCACGTGATCTCAATTCTATCCCTCTGTTGATGCAGCCTAGAACTGTGTTGGCTTTTTTGGCAGCTGCTGCGCACGGCTGGCTCCTATTTACATGGTTGTCCACTAGGACTCCAAGATGTTTGACTAATAGATCTTTGACCCATATGTTTGACTAACGACTAATTCTATGCCAAAATGCACTGTACGGCATAACTATGAACAAATACCTGGGTTCGCTCTCCCAAAGGTGCTTTTTTCAAGAGGCAGCTGGACCTTCAGGTTTTTCTTTGAAGACGTTTTCACTTCTCATCTAAGAAGCTCCTTCAGCTCTGACTGGATGGTGGGGAGATGAAGAAGCTTCTTAGATGAGAAGTGAAAACGTCTTCGAAGAAAAAACTGAAAGTCCAGTTGCCTGTTGAAAAAAGCACCTTTGAGATAACCATGACCTGGATGGCCGAGAACCTCCATGGACACTTTGATGGCTCTTTTTATTTTAGCAATACGTAGTGTTTTCGTGCAATGTTTTCTCTTTCTCTTCCCATTTTATTTTCCTCTTAATGTTTTATGCTGGTTTTGATTAAGGGCCGGAATGCAAGGTTGAAGATCTTTCTCGCCTTTAACCATTGTTTAGGGAGCTTTAACGTCCGTGAAGTGAGTTTTAATGCTTTAAGAGCCTTGATTGTACAGTGGTTTAATGCACCCTCTTATTAACACAGCTGCCTGCAGTTACTGCAGGTTCGAATCTCGCCAAGGCTCAAGGTTGACTCAGCCTTCCATCCTTTCTAAGGTAGGTAAAATGAGGACCCAGTTTGTGGGGACAATAAGCTGACTTTGTATAAAATATACAAAAGGATGAAGGCTATTGCTTAACGCCTTGTAAGCCGTCCTGAGTCTCCGGAGAAGGGCGGCATATAAATCAATTTTTTTAAAAAAATGCTTGATACAAATAAATAATTTTTGTGAGCAGAAGGCTGGAGATATCGGCTCTGGCCCCTGCCTTATTTCTGTCATAAAAAGGGGGAAAGGACTCTGGAAAAATTCTTGGTTGCTTTGTACGCAGAAGAACCGAGAGCTGGGTTTAGATATTGTGCTATTTATTATGAATAAATATGCTATTATTCAGACAGAGCTCATAAATTCGTAGGGGGAAAAAAAAGAGTGACGTGAGCCTATTTGCCAAACGCAAAGATGCTGATCTGAAAACACAGCCTACAATCCTTTGTCCGGGACCAAAAAAAAAAAAGGAGCCTTGGTAGTACAGTGGTCTAAGGCACCCTGTTATTAAGCTGGTTATTAAGACCAGCTGCCTGCAATTACTGCAAGTTCGAATCTCTCCAAGGCTCAAGGTTGACTCAGCCTTCCATCCTTTCTAAGGGAGGTAAATTGAGGACCCAGTTTGTGGGGGCAATAAGCTGGCTTTGTATAAATATACAAAAGGATGAAGGCTATTGCTTAACGCATTGTAAGCCGCCCTGAGTCTCCGGAGAAGGGCGGCATATAAATCAAATTTTAAAAAAAAAAACCCATGAAATAGATTAAGTTCCTCCAAAACTACAAAATCATTTACTGTAGGAGTCCTCATGAGATGGCCATTGGCCAAGGTTTGGTCAGATGCTGGAAAATGTGTAGGGAAAGGCTCAATCTCTCTGTAGAACATCTGTTGAAGAAGGTGACGTGAAGGGAACAATGAAACAATGAACAATGAAAAGAGGCAGTGAAACACATATGGGAGGCATAAACATCTGGAAAGACGATACCTTCCATCCCCTATGGACCCCTATGGATATAGACAGAACAGCAGAGCTGTGCGGATAGTTAATGACTGGCTGGCTGGCGATAGGTAGACAAATGGATAATGGAGAGACGATAAAACCAGTAAGTGGGGGGAAAGACAGATGATAAAGATAGGTAGTTATGTAGATAGGTAATAGAGAAGGGATTGATAGAAGATGAGTAAGTAAAAATAAATAATATATAGATGGTGATGATGAGAAAAAAGATGACAGAACAGAGTGAGATAAATAATGTGCAAAGGATAGTAGATAGATAGATAGATGAGAGATCAAATAGATGAGAGAGAGAGAGAGAAGAGAGAGAGAGAGATGAGATAGATGAGAGATCAATAGATGAGAGATAGAGAGATAGATAGATAGATGAGATAGATGAAAGATCAATAGATGAGAGATAGATAGATAGATAAATAGATGAGATAGATGAGAGATATAATAGATGAGAGATAGAGAGATGAGATAGATGAGAGATCAATAGATGAGAGATAGATAGGTAGATAGATAGATAGATAGATAGATAGAGATAGATAGATAGATAGATAGATAGGATAGATGAGAGATAAATAGATGAGAGATAGATAGATAGATAGATAGATAGATAGATAGATGAGATAGATGAGAGATCAATAGATGAGAGATAGAGAGAGAGATAGATAGATAGATGAGATAGATGAAAGATCAATAGATGAGAGATAGATAGATAGATAGATGAGATAGATGAGAGATCAATAGATGAGAGATAGAGAGATAGAGAGATAGATAGATGATATAGAGATGAAAGATCAATAGATGAGAGATAGATAGATAGATAGATAGATAGATAGATAGATAGATAGATAGATGAGATAGATGATAGATAAATAGATAGATAGATAGATGAGATAGATGAGAGATAAATAGATGAGAGATAGAGAGATAGAGAGATAGATAGATGATATAGATGAAAGATCAATAGATGAGAGATAGATAGATAGATAGATAGATAGATAGATAGATAGATAGATGAGATAGATGATAGATAAATAGATAGATAGATAGATGAGATAGATGAGAGATGATAAATAGATGAGAGATAGAGAGATAGATAGATGAGATAGATGAAAGATCAATAGATAGAGAGATAGATAGATAGATAGATAGATAATAGATAGATAGATAGATAGATAGATAGATGAGATAGATGATAGATAAATAGATAGATAGATAGATGAGATAGATGAGAGATAAATAGATGAGAGATAGAGAGATAGATAGATGAGATAGATGAAAGATCAATAGATGAGAGATAGATAGATAGATAGATAGATAGATAGATTAGATAGATAGATAGATAGATAGATAGATAGATGAGATAGATGATAGGTAGGTAGGTAGATGATAAATAGATGATAATAATATTTCTATTTTTCTTATTGTTGGAACAGCTGGTGAAATTCTAAGGGCAGCTATTTTTTAAATCGCTTATGATGTTGATGATCGTCATCATCGCTTTAATTATTAGCTTAAGCTTTTAATAACTTATAAAATAAATTAAACTCTGAATAAATAATTAAATATTTAGCTGAACCGCAGAGTAAATTATTAATAACATCCAACCACATTAGACTTCCGTCTGAAAAGCATCGTCCCAAATGCTATTGCCATTGTTATTAATACCGGGACCAGTAGTAATACTGCTAGGAATAGCCATGTAGCAATAGTAATAATATACAGATCATAATATATTCCACGCGTATAAAACCGTCCCTGACGATAAAGCAGGAAACATTGTTTTTGAAAAGAACATCGCGAGAAAGCAGATTTTTCAGGTGCCTATTAAAACATGCTAAGGAACTTATTTCGTATTTCAATAATTGCAGACGGCAGGAACAATTGGCTTTTAGTATGTATGGCTGATTGTTGTAACTCCTCTGAGTGAACTCTGAATAGCTTTTCTCTGTGATTAAACAAGAATGCTTAACTGGGGCACTTATATTTGAACTAAAAGCTAACAATCTTGACAGCATTTGGGGGAAGCCCAAAAGAGGTTTAAATTCAAATATTGAATTCAATATTGCGCATAAATTGCTTATGCGCAATATTGGAAAGGAAATAATGTACCACCAGAGGGATTAATTATTCAAAAAATATTGGAGTGTGCCAAAATGAATAAATTAACTTTAGAATTAATAGAAAAAGAAGATTCAGAATATTATGCGGTGTGGGATAGATGGTATAGGTGGATTGATAACCGAAATAAAAACAAATAATGTTTAGAAGAAAGTTAGGCTTTTTTTCAGGCAGCCAGCAAGCACTCTGCTGCCCATTGGGAGACTAAGGAGACTAAGATAGATCTATTTCGGACTTATTAGTCCTCATCAGTTAGCCACACCCTCATCCCATGTATCCTCCCTGTAAAGGTACAGTATTTGTTTTCTTTTCTTTTCGTAGGCCTTTATGTGTATTTCTCTTTAGCCAGGTTCTTCCTACGTAAACCAAGATTTTTATGCAGCCCTAGTTCAGTGAAATCACTGAAAGCTAAATCCAAAAATTCCTGGAAGCTTGGCATTCAGACAAATCGGCTATCAACAGACACACAGAGATAAGTTACATTTACTCACCATTCAAAATAAAAAGCTAAGAAGGAAGGAAACAAAAAGACCAAACCGCATATTCTCCAGCAGCCAATACCCAGATAAGCAGGGATTAACACCAGACAAACAATCAAGAAGAAAGCAATATCCTAATCAAATACCAAGGGGAAAATTACAACTCCACCAACGTTGGCAGGACAAGTTATTGTATGTAAAGAAGGAGCCAACCTCGCACTCAGTAGCACTGTTGAGGTTACCTAGTAAGGAAATGAAATGTCTGCAAACAAATTATTATGCTCAGAGAGCACCAAGTTGGGTATTGAAACATCTACAAGAAAACCACCAAGCTCAGAGAGCACCAAGGATCCTACAGTCTTCCTCCTCCTCTTCCTCTTCCTCCTCTTCCTCCTCCCCCCCCACAAACGTCACTCCTTTCTAGCACTGATGATGTTACCTAGTTTAAATTTGAAATTTTAAACATAAATTTTTAATCTGTTTAATTATGGGGGTATTTTAAAATTCAGCCTAAATTATTTAATTTGTTTTAATTTATTTTAGATTTTGTATTTCCTGTGTTTTATCTTCTGGCTGTTCACCGCCCTGAGTCCTTCTGGAGAAGGGCGGTATAGAAATTTAATAAAATAAATAAATAAATAAATAAATGAAATGTTTGCAAGAAAACAAGAAAGCTCAGAGAGCACCAAGGACCCCACAGTCCTCGTTCTCCCCCCCTCCTCCTCCTCCTCCTCCTCCTCTCCACAAATCTCACTTCCTTCTAGCACGGATGACGTTACCTAGTTGGGCTGTAAAACATCTGCAAGGAAACCACCCAGCTCAGAGAGCACCGAGGACTCCGCGGTCCTCTTTATTTTCATCCCTGACCGTTTGACCTCGATGCGTTGGTGGAACACCAAAAGTTTCCGACACTTACCCTGGTGGAATGGAGGCTCTGCTACTTAAGATGGCGGCACGCTGTGTCCCAGGCCGGTTCAGGTTATTTTGACCGGGCACTTGTGTTGTATTGTTAGGTGCGCTCTGGCTTCGGGAGAAAGTGGCGGTAGCTTGCATCCCGTTGGCAGAACGGGACTGCTCCATCTTGGACATCCCTCCCGCTTGGACGGCGCCCAAAGACCACAACGCCGTCCCGTTGAAAGTATTGCTCTGGCGGACGGCCAAGGTCCCGTTGCTATTGCCCGAATACACCTTCCGGCGTTGGGAGGCCAAGATGGCGTTTGACGCTGCCCGGGTGCTGTTGACCAGCAGGCACTGCTGACACGAACAAGGATGGCCGGAATTGGTCCCCACCGGCCAGGATTGAGATTTCGGGATGGAGCCCATGATGAGCGGGTAAGCTAAGTCCATGCGTCTCCGGAGACGGCGCTTCCTCTGCGTCTGGCGGTTCACCTGCGACATGCTGTTGAAGTAAATCAGGTAGCAGAAGCCCAAGGAGGAGAGGTCCAGCCACGGATGCTGCTTCTCGTAGGCGTTCTGGATTGTGATGCAGATGTCCATGTCGTAAGGCGTCCAGGAGTTGTTGTCGTTCTCCCATTCCCACACCACCCCTTTGCCAGGAGCGGAAGAAGGATCGTAAAAATTCCTCCGGACCGGGCGCATGGTCCCTGTGAGAAAAGGAGACCACCAAGTGATATTAACGGATGCAGCACAGGAAATGGAAGCCCCCACCCACCCAAAAAAAAAATAGTTGCATTGCTGGGCAATTTTAAGGAAAGGCGAGACAACCAGCTGCTAAAGGTTTTTCTTGTTTTGTTTACATGACCTCTTATGGTCCCAAAAGATCAGGGGTGTCAAACTCAAGTCCCCGGGGCCCAGATCCGGCCTACAAGCTGCTTAGTAACAACAAAGGACCAGCCCCGTGGTGCTTCTGCCAACGAAAAGGGAGGGAGGGAGGGAAGGAAGGAAAGAGGAGGAGAGGAATTAAGGGAAGGAAAGGAAAGGGAGGAAGAAGGGAAGGAAAGGAAAGGAAGGAAAAGGAAGGAAAGGAAGAAGGGAAGGGAAGGAAAGGAAAAAGGGAAGGGAAGGGAGGGGAGGGGAGGAGGAGAGGAGGGAGGGAAGGAGGGAAGGAGGGAAGGAAGGAAAGAGGATGAGAGGAGAGGAATTAAGGGAAGGAAAGGGAAAGGAAAAGGGAAAGGAAAAGGGAAAGGGAAAGGGAAAGGAAAGGAAAGGAAAGGAAAGGAAAGGAAGAAGGGACGGGAAGGAAAGGAAAGGAGAGGAAAGGGAAGGGAAGGGAAGAGAAGAGAAGAGAAGGAAAGGAAAGGAAAGGAAAGGAAAGGAAAGGAAAGGAAAGGAAAGGAAAGGAAAGGAAAGGAAAGGAAGAAGGGATGGGAAGGAAAGGAGAGGAGAGGGAAGGGAAGGGAAGGGAAGGGAAGGGAAGGGAAGGATGGAAGGGAAAGGAAAGGATGAAAAGAGAAGGGAAGGGAAGGGAAGGAAAGGAAAGGAAAGGAAAGGAAAGGGGAAAGTCCTCCCACAGTGAGCTCTGATGGAATCTGCTGAGAGTTGAGGAGCACAAAACGGAAAGGGATCACCAGAATGGTGACATCAGCAAGAACATCTGAACAGAAGCTACCCTCCCTCCCTCCCTCCCTCGGCAGCATGGAAACCTCCACAGGAAAGCTGGCATTGTTCTACCTGACAAGCCCTGGCAAGGTAGAACAATGGCTGGGCTGACCGGTCGGAATGGCCAGAGGGCAAAGTCCTGTGACTAACCAAACTCTGTTCCAAACTGGCGAGGCGGTTGAAACAAAGGGAGGATGCATGGAAAGATACCCAGAAGAAGGAATGTTTGCTGTAGCAACACCCAGAGGGCATCTGGAGGCAGCAGGCAGACAGGTGTGCTTTGGAGACGGGAAAAAGATGGGTGGGCAAACCCAATTTGGCCCGAATGGTCCCTGACCCTTAGGTTAGCAAAGCTGGGGACTTAACACCCGATATAAGATTTCTTATCATTGTGGTTTGTTTCGGAAAAAAATGGAATTGGAAGAGCCGGCTTGGTCTGGTGTTTGGACCACTTGGATAGAAAC